GGCAGAAGCAGAGCAGAACTTAGCAGAGGCAGAGCCAGGGGCAGGGCAAGTCCGGAGTTTAATTGACGTCTGTGTCTGTGGCTCTGTCCATCCAGCACCACAAATGAAAACGAGAAGGGACGTGTGAGACGCTTCTTACACGTTACAACTTTTATACCCGGCACTCAGTACTAAATCTGCAACACGCTCCTTTAGCTCGCTCCCCTTCCCAAGACCCACACACTGCAGACTCGCGGCAGAGGCAGACCCTGCACCTGCGCCTAATAATGATCCAATCGGATCCCCGGATTGGTGATCTGATAAATATGGTCATTCCCTACAGAATGGTGTTTTTAGTTTTCTTTTATTTTCAAAATTGTAGATTTGGGATACAGAAGTATCCCATACAGAAGTCTGGATGCAACATTTGGTGGCTCTAGCTTTTAAGGTCTCTGAGATCCAGACGCTCAACAAGACGGACGGACGGACGGACGGACAGACGGACAGACAGACATGGCTCAATCGACTCGGCTATTGATGCTGATCAAGAATATATACACTTTATGGGGTCGGAAACGTTTCCTTCTGTGTGTTGCATACTTTGTGCTCAAATACAATATACTCTATTGGCTCTTAGAGTACCGGGTATAATTAGGTTGGATGGCTGTTTGAAGAGAGCGGGAATCTGATCGCCCGCCAGACGTGAGAAAGAGAGAGCGAGAGAGCAAAACCGTAACAAAAGAAGAACCCAAAAAACGCCAAACCAAACGGTTCTTTGCATATTTCGAGAACATAATTACATAAATACATATTGTATGTATACAAATGTTCGTTGATATGTGTTTCCACATCTTCATCTGAGATTTTTTCGGGTTCCTGTACATATGTACAAATTTGCCAGTGTCAGCGCAACCGTGTCCGCGGGTCAAGGAAGAGACAAAGCTTCAAATTCTGATGACTTTTGTTTTTGTTTTAGTTTTGGTTTCACTTAGCAAACGTCATTACAGCGGTGGGAATGTATGTTTGGAAATATGTATAGATATTATGACCGATGTAGCAGATAACTGCATTGTGGGAAAAAAAGTCTACCAGCAATACTGACATGCTCGTTGCTAAAACAATATACCCAATTGCCCATTGCCAAGGTAAGCGGTATCTGCAATCCGATGCGTTACATTTATTTCGCCTTCGGCCTCCTTCCAGCCTTCACTCCCCCCCCCCATTTTTTTACTCCTGCCTTTGCTTCTGCTGCCTTTTTCTGTCGTCTCCTCTTTGGCAGCAGAGCGTAACGCGACGCACGCGCCGCCTTCAGGCAGAAGCAGGCGACGGCAGAGGAATTTTATGCGCAGGCGCAGCCCCAAAAAGGCCAGCGACTTTTGTCTTCTACTGCTACCTCCGCATGCTTCTCGACTTTTACTGCTTTTGTGTTCTTTTGTTGTTTTTTGTTTTTCGAGTAGGCGTCCAATCCGCCTTGGATCCCGTCGTTCCCACACTCTCAGCAGGAACCAAGAGAAGTGCTGGGGAGAGGGAAGGGAAGTTCGAGTAGAATATAATTTGTATACCCTACACACTTACTCGCCGCCGTCCAAAGACAAGAGATCAGACAGAAAAGTGCTGTAATGATGATCCCCACAGTTGTTTCCTTCCCACTCTCTGTAAGGTGACGCACAAGCAACTTTCTTTAATGAATGCAACTTAACAGCCCACCTTGCAATCACACACGCTCCACCCTGACCACATGCACAAGCACAAGACTAGTAGCGAGGCAGATCGGCTAGAGGCAATCCTGAGCTGGGTTCAATGTCAAGTTCAATGTCGTGCATTCAACGAATTTTGTGAACAGTTTTCAAGATTCCATCGAATCGTAGTTCCCTTTGGCTGTGACTTCAGTTCAGAAATCAGAACAGCGTTCATTCGAATAGTTCAGAACGCCACGTTCAGATCGACATTTTTTATTCAAGCAAAACAAAAAATTATTTTACACACAATTTTAAATATTTGGTCAACTGGGTCCAGCAATTGAAACTTTCCGTTTCAGAAAAGGATACTGCTGATTGTATTGCTTGGAAGAGGGGAGCATACAATCCAACCGTCTTGCGACGGATATTAAAATTCTAGAAGGAACGAGCGCTTATTGGTTAGGAAACGCAAGGGATAAGCCAACGGGTAAGTTTGTCTTTGACTGCAATTGTTGTTGTGGATGAGCTCATCGGCCCCAGCCCCTCCGCAACTCGAAACTCCTTTCCCCGGTCCCTATATAGTCCTCACCATCAACTAAATACACCACGGTTAAGTGGTACACTCGACAGATTTATATCTCGCGGCGCTCGTCCTGTCAAGGACGCACTTATCCCGAAGGGTAGCTGAAAGCTTTGGGGGGAGGGGGAGTTGTTCAGAACCTGTGGTAGGAGGGGCTGCGTCACGCTTATGACGTGAGTCATTCAGATAGTCAACAAGAAGGGAACCCTAGTGGAGCGGAACGAAAAACAAAAACGCGAAATGCGAAACCCGAAAAGAGCTTTAAAAGGGTTATTAATGATGGCAGAGTGGAAAGGCGATTATCGAGAGGGGCGAGGCGGTGTTATGCAAGAGCTCGTGACACTACGGATCTCGCTTGATCTGGCTCCCTGTCTCTTTCTATCTCTCTCTCTCTCACTTTCCGTGGCTTCGTTTGTTTTTTTGCGAATTCTGCCATTTCCCTGTGTTTCGTTTGTTTTTTTTTTATCTACAAAAACATCTGCAGGGCGCCGTTAGGACTGCGCTGCCAGCGTCGCGCTGCTGACTCTACTGGGACGCTCCCGTTAGTGGTGGGACGGCTTTATGGTGGTAGTGGTGGTGGTGGGCAACGGCAGGCAGCAGAAAGGCAGATGCGAGAGGGGGGAGTTTCATTAGCACACATTTAAAACTAAGTAATTAAACACGCGAGATTATCTTAGAACCAGCCCAGTCCCCATCCCTCCAATATGGCCCATGCAGCACGCACGCAATTTTTGGGCATCAGGAACACCGCTGCAGAGAGCGAGCGTGCCCGGCTGCTGCACACACACACACACATACGGGAATTTTTATTGATTTTTCACACACAAACACACACGCACACTGGCACACGGAGTTCCGTGGAGATAACGAAGGTATAGCAATAGGGAGATGAAGAGAGCACAAAACAAACAAACAAAAAACCACGAAATGCAATTGTCGCAACCGTCTCACTCCTCTCCACCCCTTCACACAGGATTACACTTACACTGCACTCTCACTCTTTCGCTTCGTTGGGACTCCTCTTGCTCTCTCTGTTTGTTTTTTGCTTTCCTTGGCTCCTTGACGAAATTTCAGCACACGCCCTAATTTGGCCAACGGAGTGGGCGGCTGCTGGCGCCAACGAGAGGGGGCCACCGGGCGACACCAATAAACAAAAAAGAGACACACGCACACTCGCAAAAAAATAAGTGCAGGACACTGGTGATCGACCGCGCCAAATCAATTTTATTAGATTAAACAAGGGCCCAAATCCATCCCTATTGCACCTTTCGTAAGCGGCTAATTTAATCGCGCGTATTAACGTTCTGATTTGTTAAAACTTCCGTTAGACCCTCAGATTTGTGAACCGCGCGATTTTTTCATTTATTTGGTTTTAAGCGCACGACCAGTGTGACCTCGGAGCTATCGGCAAAATAAACCGCGAGACCCTCGAAAATATACCGAAATATACTTTTTCATTTTCAAAGTATACCGTAAAATATACCGTAGTCTTAAATCAGATTCCTCGATGTTGTTGTTATATTTGATATTACTAGCTTGCAAAGACTTTCACCACTGACACAATAATTTAATCCTATTGACGAATCAATTTTTCTGATTATAAATACTCCTTTTTATTGGCTGATATAACATATGACTTTATGACATTACTACTACTACACATTTTCTACATACCAATAACATACTTAGCAGAATAGCCAAATATTTAACAGAATGTGGGAAGGATTCTGTGTCTATTTAAGATAAAAGATAAGCGCCTTTGTCTGCCATTTGGCTTTATAAAAGTAAGCATTTTATTGTATTTACTTTGATTTAAGTGTGATTGTTATTTTGAAATAAATTCACACAAGCGTGCGAGCAGCGCTCGCAATCACACTGTAAGAAATAACATAACAGAAAAAAATTTGAACTCTAACTTTTACTTCTTAGCACACGCACACATGCAAAATAAAGAACAACGGTGCTCGGTCACACTTTTGTTTAAAAACGGTAAATAGGGTATATTTTATTTGTGGGGAATAACGGATGTATGTATGTAACGCACAGAAGGACACGTTTCCGACCCCATAAAGTATATATGTACATATATTCTTGATGAGCATCAATAGCCGAGTCGATAGAGCCATGTCCGTCTGTCCGTCTGTCCGTCCGTCTTGTTGAGCGCCTAGATCTCAGTGACTATAAAAGCTAGAGCCCCCAAATTTTGCATCCAGACTTCTGTATGCTCACACTGTAACAAGTGTATTTCAAAAATGAGCCACGCCTCCTTCCGCCCTTTGAAGATAACTTCATTATAACTAAATTCCTCATCATTCAAAATTCTTCTTCCCGATTTTCTTGTATCCAAAGCTTTGGAACCGTCTGCATGGCCTGAGCACACTATTCTACATGAATTCGACCTGCCTCAAGTTATTTTTCACTCAGTTGCATTAATGTAGGCTGATGACACTAAAATTTGGTTTCCTTTTGCGACTGGTACTTAAATACTCGCCTACAACTTCACCTTGATGAATTAATTCGTTCGAATAAGCTACTTTTCTTGAATCATTCTAAGTGCAAACTTATGACTTTTCACCGACGTGCTCCAATTCTCTAGTTGAAAATGTTCTGGATTGACTAGGAGTCCTTTTTGATAACAAGCTACTAGAGCATGCATAATGTTTAATGTTCGCTTTAAAGTTACTAGCAAGCTATGACTTTAGAGATCAAAGCTATAATTTTATACAACTAATGAATACATTTTTTAAAAGATTGACTACAAACTGGTGAAGGACTCAGCCGTTGCTGTGTGTTTGGATGTGTGGAAATGTTAGAATCAGATTTCGTAGATTTTAGCTTCAGATAAAGATTTGGGTCAAATTGAAAATAATTCAATCAGGAACAAAACATACAAATAATACTTATTATTTCTTTTTATAGGCAACAACATTCAGCAATGGAATCTGATGAAGAGGTCCCCGTCATGTTAAGCTGCGAATCGAGCGAGTCGACAAGCTGGCACTCGAATCTGAGTACGGTATCGGATGGGTCCATTTCATCGTATTCGAACTGCGGCACGCAGACATCATATTCATCCCTTTCGGATGAGACTGGGAATGAGAATGGTAATAAGAATGGAAATGAGAATGGACATGAGAATGAGAATGGGAATGAGAACACATCGGAGCATGCCACGCAGGGTGGGGCAGAAGATTCGGCTTCCTCCAGTGATGTTCCGCTCAAGGACTGGAAGGACTGGAACTTTGCCGAGCACTTCAAGAAGGATCCGGCTGGCTTCCTCGATAAGTTTGTCGAGAACTATGTCCATCTGAATAGCGTGGTCACGCTGAAGAGTGACATGGCCAAGCGGGCCGTTGAGCAATCGAACATTGTCAGGCAGCTGCTGCTGCAGGAGCAGAAGCTCAGCAGCGAGCTGCGCCAGGAGCTGGAAGACTACAAACAGCGTCTCGAGAGTGCGAGCATCAACAGCCACAATCAGGCCATGGAGAGACACAATTTAATGCAGGAACTGGACCAGACCCGGGAGCAGTTTTTCGAGGAACGTTCCATAGAGCTGCTCAAGCACAATGGCATCATCAGCGGTTTCCAAAAGGAACTCATGCAGTGCCAAAAAAAATACGCGGCCCTGAAAGCTGAAAGGAAGAGACTCGTGGCGGAGCTCAACGAATGCAAGAGTAACACTGCACAGGCAGTGCCGGAGGGAGGGGACGGGTGCGGCAGCCCTCAGAAATGGGAAATACTTTGCGCGGCACTCAAAGGCCAACACGAATACAATCAAGGCATCATTCAGGAGTTGCAAAATAAAAACGAAGAGCTGGAAACGAAAGCCGCAAACGGACTGCAGTCTACCGGTGCCTCCGCTGAATATGCCAAGCTGCAGGAGGAGCTGAGATTCTACAAGAAGCAATACTTCGAGGACAATGCCGACGAGTCGCACGGAAACAAGGAGCTGCAGGAGGAGCTGACGCGCATGCAAGCGATCCGCAAGTCTCTGGAGGTGTCCAATGAGCGACTCTCGAGTGAGTTGGAGGCCTACAAGGAGTCGTTTTACCAGGACAAATCAAAGGGTAACGAGAAAATCAAGAATTTTTGTCGTGATCTCAAAAACGAACTCAGGGAGAAAGAGAAAACAATTGACAATCTTCGTGGGATGAATGAGAAGTTGAATGAAAAGCTGGCAGACATGAAGTTTATGCTGAACCGCATGGATCTGCAAGCGACGGGACTCCAATTTTCCCTCGAGATGAATTCGGAGCTGGAAACACGTGAGGCCTCCTACGAGAGAGCCTTTGTGTTGCTCCAACGATTGAACTCGCAGCTGCGGGAAGAGGCCAGCAAGACACGAAAGAGCTACAAGAAGCTGAAGGAGAGCTTCAAGCTTGAGCTGGCCAAGCAGCAGGCTCTCAGCGGTAGTGACGGTGGCCAGAACCCCGGCAAGACCGGGAAACTTAACGCTCTGCACGAGAAGTTGATGCATTATGTGAATAAGCTCAGCGCCACATCCGTGTCCGATCACAGCCTCGGCAGCAGACTCAGCCGAGTCAGCAGCAACGTTTCGTTGTCTCAGATCATAGGCCGCAATCACCTCAAGATGGATCCCGATGAGGTGCTCGAAGATGCGTTCAAGGCATTCTGTGACATGGTCACCGATTACTGGGTCACCCAGATGCACCCCTTTGAAGCCGTGGAGCCCAGTAGTTATTCATCGAACGATGAAAAACGCTTGGAAACCTATTAGTAATCCACGCAATTCTACACACAACTAACACACTCCGAACTCTAATCAAACAACAAACAAATTCAAAGAAGGTCTCCGCTTGAGATCCTTTTTACACTCCCCTTAAATAATGTTCGTGCACTATTGTTATATTTCCTAAAATGCTTTAACGAACCATCCCCACTACTATATGTCAACCAGGATCGATTCAAATTCACAATTGTTATATATTTTATAGTTTCACTGTTTTCGAATTCAAAATTAAACGCGCCCATTGGAAGGTGGAGCTGCAAACTAGTTGCATTTTTACTCGGTTATTACTTCAATTCACATTTCTCGGGCACATGGCCCCAGTTGGTATCGTCGGTACGGGTGTGCCGGTGGCCATCCAGGGGCTCGCCCTCGAGCAGTCCCTTCACTGCACGGCACGTGCTTCACTGTTAGAGAGAAAATGAGAAGAGAGCTGAATTAGTAACTATTATTCATGGGAGTATGTTTGCTTCAGCCTAGTGAAATTACTAATAGGTGACGTCGTCCGCTGCATGACGCAATTAAATAAGGAGGTGCCGTCGGCAAAAGTGCTCTACTATCTTTGCTGTTTGCAAGTTCTAGTGTAAGGGCTCTGCGCTGTAAGTGTTAGTGATGGATTAACCCTATGATGGCATGGGGGTTAAAGTTGCCCATTACAAGAACATTTTTTTTTTAATTTGATTTTTCAATAAGCTACTACTTGTAAGTAATTGTTATTTTGTTCATTTCACCATGTGACACAATGCCCCGCGTCGCATTTTCCGTTAGTCACCGCTCAGCATCGCACGGCGTGCGCTCTCATTTGTTTGATCTTCTCTGAGCGAATCTCTCAGTAGACACGCTCTCGCGTTCGCTCTCACATGAGTACCGTAATATACATACATACATAATAGACAGACGGCAAGAATAACTGTAAATCGACCAAGGTGATGAGACGCACAAGAAGGGGAGTTCAATAAAAAGCTACACTACTGAGAAAAATCACTTAAGGAATACCAAAAGGATACACACACACACACTTATACATTTGCTTATTACATTTTCATTTGTTGTACTGGCATACAAAATTCCCACTGTAACGAGGGGCAGCACCGCCTCGCAAACAGCGATACCCGCAGCTTCGGACAGTCCAAAGAAATTCAGATTTTGCGAGTACAATGCGCCGGAGTGCAGCATGTACAGGGTGTCCAACGGCATCAATTCAAAACAAAAGCACTGCATCAAGTTTGCAATGTGCGGCTGGCGCTCCAGCGGAGCGATGCACACCCAGTGGAGGACTGCGAAGAAGGCCTCCAGCTCCTGGTTGATGCCCAGATTATCGCTCTTCAGCAGCGTCTCCATATGATGGTGCGTCAGCTGTGCAAACTGCTTGGTTCCCACGAGTACAAGGAAGTAATTTCTGATAGTCGACAGCAAGTGGTGGCACAGATCCACCATCGCGGGGTCATCCTTCAGTTCGAGAAATATCTCGAAGGCTTCCTTCTCACGCAGTACGCTGCCGTTGCAGTTGCCGCTTCCACTGGCCGTATCATCGACGTCGGAGCTACCCTCGAGCCCTTTGGAAATTGCCTCTTCAGACAGACCTTCTTCAGACATCTTGGCACGAATTTCTAACTAAATTTGTTCACAATTTCTCGAAATTGATTGATAGAAACGACTTCTACCGCCGACTGAACTGATAGTTCTAGGTAGTTCAATTGACCCAGCCAAATATACCCTGTGGTAGTTTGAACTAAGCCTACTATGATTACTTCAGGAACGTAACTCAGTTACAGGCAGAAATATATATAAAATCTGTGATATATTTGTGCCAGACGGCATCATTCAATTAATTCCGTTTTGTCTGTCTTTAGTGCTTGGATTGCCGACCTCATCACTGCCATCGAAGCAGTCGGAGACCTCGTCACACTGGAAGCTCTTGGGTATGCAGTGGCCGCTGGGCTCGGGATCGCAGGAGCCTCATCGGAGTTGTCGCCACAGTCATTCTCGCCATCGCAGCGCCAGGTGCGGTCCACGCACTTGGAGTTGTTAAACGTGTCCAACGGCAACGGAAGATCACCTCGCGACCTGCATAACATGGAGACAGAGTGCTAAATTTGAGTTATGTCCGACACAGAATGTGCGTAAATATTGAATATTTAATGAGTTGGTCCTTTCTGAGTTGGTCCTGAGCTTTGCCAAGGGCTGCTTTCCGAGTCGTTTGTAACTGGTTTTATTTTCTAAATTTGTGTTTGAAAGTTGAGACACGCTCCAGCTGATGCACTGATGAATAATGAAAAGTGTGGCAGCTCTGATGGACAGACTGTGACACCACCTGGTGTCTCTTTTCGCAAGCGATACTTAAGTGCATATGTTTCTCGCCAGGTGACGACTCTGTGCATAAGTCTCATGTAATGTGCAGTTCAAATAGAGATTTAAACATATAATTGAAAGGGTTCCGAGGATGGTCTGGCTGTGCCAAAATCCAACCAAAACATCGAAAATATTTGCTAGTAAAAAATCGTTTTAGTCAACTCTTAGATTTGGCACTAATTCTCACACATATCCAACTGCAGATTATGCATTCCCCTGTTTTCATTCTGTTTAACTTTATCGATAAATCTTTTATTCAAAAATTCTAGTTACAAATATCAATACATATACATAGAAGTAGATATAGATATAGATAGATACACACACATAGGTAGTATCATAAAAGCAAAAGGACTCTTAATCTGGTTGATCGGATTGACTCTTACAGCCTAGGCCCAACTTATGACTACGGGATCTGGCATTGCATCTGGAATCCCAATGGAGTAGCAGAGACAGAAGAGCAGTGACTACAATAAATACACACACACGTACGATACAATACGATACGATAACGATAACGATAAGGAATGGACAGAGGGGAAACATATTTACATATATTTGTATGTTAATTTTCTTTTTCTTTGTGTTTGTTTTTGTTCCTGTCTAGGAGTCTAGGGAATCTTGACGGGTAGAAAGAGTCGCGGATCTCCAATCTTGGGACTGAGGCGCACCACAACTTGATCATCGCCAGCGCCAACCTCAAGGAAGGAGTTCCAGTCGGCCAGGAAATAGAAGCCGTTCTTTTTCTTAGCTGGCGGCGGATCCTCGGTGACGGGATCCGGCCCAAACGAGTCCGCCAGATCATCGAGCGAACCATTGCGTGACTCCTCCGTGGAGCTGTTCTCAGACTCCCCAGCGGCTGGCTGAACGGATGATGACTCCATGGTGGCAGCGCCAGTGTCCATGTCGCCATCGTCCAATCCCAGACTCAGGCTTATCCGTGTGGGTGCTTGGGTGCTGGTGCTGGTCTCCTCTACTTTCTCTGTGCTGGTGCTGGCATCACTTTGACGCCTCGACTTGAGGGTCTCATTGTTTTGGCCATTCTGCAGCGTCTGCAGGTAGGCGGCATCCTGGGATTGGGACTGTACCTGTACCTGTGGCTGTGGCTGTGCCTCCACCTTATCGAGGCTCACATTGAGCTGCTGCAGCTCCTGCAGATTGCTGATCAAACGCTGCAATTCGCTGAGGTTCGTCGTCTCTCGCTTCTCTGGCTGTGCCACCTGCTCCGGCTTTGCCAGTTGATAGTTGAGTTCGCTGAACTCGGCCATGAGGTCCCCATCGAGGACACCCTCATCCGTGTCCATATCTTCAGCCGCAGCATCCTCATCGTCGCTGCGTCGTCGAAATCCCTGTCCCATGCCCATGCCCGGTGGCCTTGGCTGCTCTGTGGACACACCAATCCGGTTGGCCGCTCGCTTGATGGCTGCCTCAATGATTTTTGTGGCACTGAACACCGGCAGCTCCAGGCTGCTCTCCGTCGTGTGAGTCGCTGGGCGTCGTGGCCGCGGCGAGGCTGGCTTGATCGTTGTCAGCGAGAACACAGCCGGCGAGGAGGAGTCCACTGTCTGCTGTGGTGCTGGTGTCGTCGTGGTCGTCGTTGTTGTCGTCGTGGACTGCAGCTGACTCTCGAGCTGCTGGGACAGCTCATGGGGCAGGGCCACGCCGAGCTTCTGCAGCTGCTGGGTGTTGTACAGCAGCTTCTGCAGCTCCTCGAGATCCGCCTGCCGGGGGCCGGGTGTCGTCGGATGGGATCTCCTTGCGGGCACAAATCTCGGCGCTGCTGGACTCACCGGCAGTGGTGTGGGCGTCTTGTAGATGGGCTGCATGTGATGGTAGCTCTGCCGCTCGCCCGTGTCCTCCAGGCCGCCAAAGAACTGCTGAAATTGCTGGCCAAAGTCCTGGTCAGTGGGGGATCCCCTCTGCGGATGTGCCGGCTGTGACATGGCCAACTCGCGCAGCTCCTCGCTGGAGCTCTGCTGAGCTGTGCCTGCTGCTGGCTTCTGGTACACTGGCAGGTCCAGCTTCAGCTCCGGCTCCGGCTCCAGTTCCGGCTCCTGCTCCGCCACGGACTGGGCATAGACGATGTGCGCTCCATTCAGACTCTTGACGTTCGGTGTGCGCACAGAGGCGGCTGTGGCTAGCTGTGGCTGCGGCTGGTGCTGGACCGTTTGCAGCTGGACTCGCTCCAGCTCCTGCACCTTGCTGAGCAGCTTCTGCAGCTGCACGTAGTCCTGCGGCTGCACCTCCTGCAGCAGTCCATTGCTCCGCTCAAAGTTGCTCAGCGGTCGCTGTTTGGCTGTGGAGGCTGCCGTGGAGATCTCCACCTGTGCAAACGGCGTCGTCGTGGTGGCTGACAGCCGCTGCAGCTGAGCAAAGTCGTTGCTGGGCAGCGCCGGGCCAAGGTCCCCAAGGTTTCGGTTTGCTTCTCCTGCAATTGCCTCCGATCCGGCCACATTTCGGGTGAGAAAGTTCGGGGTCGTTGGCTTTGGCTGCTGCAGTTGCTCCAGCTGCTGGACCCTCGTGATTAGCGCCTCGAACTGTGCATGATCCACCGCTGCTGCCTTGCTGGTGGTGGTGCTTCTCGGTGTTGTGGTGGTGCTCGTTGTGCTCGTTGTGCTCGTGGTGGTGCTCTTTGGTTGCTTCCTTTTGGTGCTTCTTGCCTGCTCGTAGAGCTTCTCCAGCTCCCGATCGTCGCTGAGGAGACGCTGCAGCTGTAGCAGATCTGCGGCGCCCAAAGAATTTTGGCCCTGATTGAGGCCAAGGCCCAAACCCAAACCCAAACCCATATCTAAGCCTGGTCTAGGCTTCACGGTGGTGCTGCTGGTCGTTGGCGTTCTCATTCGCTCCAGCTGCTGCAGCTGTCGCAAGATCAACTGCAGATCGCGCTCACCGCTGGCTGGTGTAGTTCGTGGCGTGGGAGGAGGCGATGGAGTCGTTGTGCTGGTGCTGCTGGATGTCGAAGAGAAACGATTGCTGAGTGCCTGCACACCCGGATTGTTGCTGCTGCTGCTGCTGCTGCTGGTTGCCTTCAGCACATTCTCTGGATTGATCTTCAGCTTCTCCAGCTCCTGGAGATTCTGCAGCAGCTTCGACAACTCATCGTTGCGGCTGCCCGTTGCCTGCTGGTTGCCGGCATTCGCAAAATTAATGTCAATATTGGGATCGATGCGTCTCCGGGGCTTCTTGGCCTCAATGAGCAGCGGCTCCCCATGGGTAATGAGCTGCACTGGCGCTGCTGTCGTTGTTGTCGTTGATGTCGTTGTCGTGGTGCTGGTGCTGGTGGTGGTGCTGCTGGGTGTTGCCTGTTTCCTTTTCGGCTGCGTCTGTAGCCGCTCCAGCTCCTGCAGATTCTCCAGCAGCTTGGCCAGCTCCGCATTGGTCTGGGGCGGCAGACGTGCCGTGGCCGTTGAGAGCTCCGTGTGGGCACCCGCCGGCTCCTCCGTGGGCGCGGCACTCTTCTTCAGGGACTTGGGTGCCTTCTTGACGATGCCAAAGCGCGTGAGATAGCCCTCCACCTCGGGCTTGGCGCGCAGCTCTTCGCCAATGTTGAGGGGCTTGAAGTTGGAGTAGGCATCGGGTCGGATGCGGGCACCCTGCAGGCCGCGCAGATCCGCCACCGCCACCACCGAGGGCTGTGGTGCGCTCTCCGCGGGATAGTAGTCGTCCATGGCATACCGCTTGTGGGTCGCGTCCCCCTCCCTCACGTGGTGGCCGGACACAATGCCCAGACTCTCGAGTATGTCCGCCACGGGCTTCACCGTGCTCGATGTGGGCTTCCGCTTGCGCAGGAACTGCGCATTCTTAGCGCTGTAATGGGAGCTGAAACGCTGCGAGCCGGAGCCAACGCCCGGCGGAGCTGCGGCTGCGGCCGCGGCTGGTGTGGAAATCACCGGCTGGAAGTCCTGGTACATAACTGGAGGCGGTGCCGGTGGATGGTAAGTGGTGGCCGAGGGCATTGGACGGAACTGCTGCTGCTGCTGTTTGATCTGCGACTGAGCGGGATAGAGATGTGCTCCGGCATAGGCCGGCTTGTAGGTGGTGGCTGCCACACGGGGATTGCCGCCGGGCACCGTGCTGCGTGGCAGGGCATTCGGGTCGGGTGTGAGGAACTTAATTGGGTCGGGGGGCGTGTACGCATCGATGACCCGCGTGACGGGTGGACGGGTGTACAGCTCCTGCAGATTCTCCTCGGTGTTGTTGTCCGTGTTGAAGGGCAGCACGAGCATCAGGGCACGCATGCTGTCCGCCCGGCTCATGTCCCCCGCCTCGATGCTCTTCTCGTACTCCTCGCGTGTCACCTTCTCGTACAGCTCCTCGATCTCGCCGCTGTCGCGTCGGATACAAGTACATTAGCACAGAATTTGCCACAGATTTGCGCACTTACCGTGTCAGTCGTGGCAGCGCCGGATCATTGGCCAATATTTGTTGCACCTCATCGATCGTCTGCTCAATCTCTGGCGGCTGAAAGAAGCTCTTGTCCAGCTGCTGCTGCAGATAGTTGGCCCCCTTGCTGGCACTGGCAATGTTGCCCTGAATGTTGGGCAGTGCCCCAACACCACACAGGAGCAGGCACAGTGCCAAAAGGCACGCGTTGCAGCTTGCAGCTTGTGGCATGTTGTCAGGCTACGCGGAGCTAAAAGACAAATTAAATTTGTTGAGTTTTTTTTTGTTCTCTCCCAAACAAAATCGAGTCCAAATGAGTCGTATGACAGAACTGCAATCTCCCCCACCAAGTATAAACTCTTTGAGCCCATTTTCAGTGCATAAAAAGTTTGGTTTCTGTTTGAAACTCCCCCCAATAAATGAACCTCGCATTACCTCTCGAAACGCCTTGCAGCCATTCAGCATACAAATAAATAAATATCCATTTTGTGTGCATGAAAAGATCCAATTTCCTCCCAGAAAAAGCAAGAAAGACTTGCAAAGCCGAGAGAAATGTGCGAGTGCGGAGTATTTAATAACAACTTGAAAACGTGAAAGAAATCAAATGAAATGCCTGACAAATTGTTCGTCAAAAGAGACTGACAAGTGTACAAAAATGTGTTTAACCAAACAAAAAAAAAAACAAAAAGAGAGAGAGAGAAAAAAACAAGACACAAAAATCCAAGAAACATTTGGAGAGGAGCTGTCGAGCAGGTGGGAATTACCAGCATTTGTTATGATTATGTTGAGGCATCAATATTGAGAATTATGCAAGCAGCAGCTCAGGTGAAGAGAGAGAGAGAGAGAGAGAGAGAGATCCTGAATGGATCCTAATGGAAATGTAGCAGCCTGTGGCAACATTCATCACAGATTTGACGAACGAATAATAAAGGGAATGAGGCGTACCATTGGGCAGGGCTGGGGGCAAGTACTCCATTTTATTTGAGAGCCATCGAAGCGTTTAATTTTCACTTAATTGCCGTAGTTAAATCATCAATTTAATGAGAGTGCCGTAGAAAGCGATGACGAAGACGATCAGTGGCAGCGGCTGCCGTCCGGTGAAGCCGTTAGCGAAATGAACTGTTAGATAATCTGGCCGAAACGTGTGCCGGGTAGCAGGTGGAGGGAGGGAAGGAATGGGGCTACCTGTTTATGGCCAAGCTATGCGGCTATTCAGCTCTTTTGCTGAACAAAAACAACGAACTAACAGCTGCTACGTGCCGGGCATTCTGAGTGGAGTGGAGTGGAGTGGAGTGGAGTGGAGCTGTAAACTGCAACAAGTTGGCTTGTAAATGGAATTGGAATCCATCTGGAAGTATCTCGAACTGGAATGCCGTCAGATGATGAGAGAGAGAGAGAAAGAGAAACCGAGGCTGTAACTTGTCTTACTTTAGACTGAATCTGTGCAAGAATCAAAGCTATGTTGTATGCAGATTATACACATAATTGTACCAACTACGAGTGCTTCACAGCCCCGAGCAATCTTCAATCAAATCAAATTTCATGCCCAAAAAGTAATCATAGATAAGACCTGTGCAAGGACAACCCTGATCCGCTGATTATTAATATATTTTATTGATAATACTTCAGAGAGCAGGCCGGCAAGTGCGCTGTGAGGGGAGTACAAGAAATGCATTTTAATTTCATAATAGCAGCAGCAGCTGATACTCGTGCCCCATACGTATAATCAAAACGCAAATAAATCAAAAGGCAACACACGGAATGTGAGTCAATCTTTTGTGAGTGAGTGGAGTGCATTCCCAATTCAATTCAGTACAAGACAAGACCACAGCCAAGACTGCGATGATGATGATGACGATGATGAGGACGTCACTGGAGCGCATTAAACATATTGTTACATTCGTGTGTATTCGTGTGTATTCGTGTGTGTGTGTGTGTGTGTGTGGTAACAATTAAATTTGTGTTAAGTAATTCCAAGTGATTATTAACATTACATTACACACTCAATAACCTAGTCCCCAAACAAGTGAGATTGCCAGCGGTAGTGGGACATTTTCTGCGTCTAATTGACGGCTAATTTCTTTTGCCTCCTTTTCATTATTATTATTATACTTCTTTTATATTTCAATTTCAATTTCAATTTTCCACACACCGCGTAGACGTAGACAGCCAGTCAGTCGTTGTACATGTGCCCATGCGGAAGCTTAGACGGACTCCACTCAGATTTTCAGATGTCAAAGGCCTTGAGCCCATTGTTGGGCTTTGACTCTCAACAGTCTTAGGAACGTTCAAATGTTGCGCAAAAAAAAAATAGATCCAAAGTACAAAGCATCCCAAAATGTCAACCCTAAGGCTTGACTGTGACAACAAAGTCCAGTAATGTCAGTGCCCATTGCCATAATACATACTTAATTTAATGACTGACTCATACGTAACTGGGAGTTCTGCAAAAAGTAACCCAAGAGCCACTAAGCTTGCCCATGGATCATGTGAAAATTGAGCAGAGCCTTAATTTGGTCGCAGGCCCTTGACTTGAATGAGTTTAGCCCTGAATCTGTGCTGATTGCTGGGCAATTTACAATAAAAAAAAAACAGAAATACGAGCACTAGCCATATAATAAAAAGACAAACAAAAGACAATTGCTTGGCCGCTTCATTAGTGCATTAGTTGAGAGCTCAGAGTCTATGTGTGGACCCACGGAAAGGTCATTCAGAGCACATTGAAGAGAACGAACGGTGAGTGTTGGGGTTCTTGGAATTTGGGCTGGCCACAGAGGTGCAAGATGTGCACAGAATTGGGTCAAACAGTGCCCCAAACTGGCACTCCCTCGTGAAGGTCAGCTGTCTGTCATTTGTCGTCGTACAACATTTCCGGATTTGGCGAGTCGAGAAAGCGCCTCGGGGCTTAGCTCTCACTTTGGCCAATTAGTCAGACGGACTACGGACGGCGACAAATCAAGCCTCAAATTCGTCAGCCCACAAAAGCGGCTTGAAGCTGGAACGGCACTCGAAGTTGGTGCCTCATCATCTTGCACCACTTTTACTCGCAGCTGAAGCTGTATGGTAAGCTTTGTGGCTTCAACTAAAGCAAACTAAATGTGGCCTGTGGCTTTGGTGGTCTTTTTGTTGTTGTTGTTGTGGTTTTTGTGGTCGTTTTCCTTGTTTTACAGGCCAACCAGACTGGGTTTTTGGCCAGCTCCAGTGTCGAGTGTTGAGTGTCTTTCTGGTGGCTGCAGTTGCTGGTAAATTCTATTTAAGCCAGCTCTTAAATGCATATGACAAGTGAATGTTGTTTTGGGCGGCCAGGAAAAAGCCGGACCAGGCTCCCAGTAGCAGTCCCAGTCCCAGTCCCACTGGCAGTCCCACCACTAACTTGGCCAACTGGATTTGGTTTTGTTCGCCTGTATGTGTATGGCATGTTCGGATCTGTATTTGGATCTGTTTACTGGCAACTCAAATTGATTTCTTGCCTTGGCAGATGCTCACCGTTCCTAATTATTGTTTGTTTTTGTTTTATTTTATTACGAGCATTTATTTTTGTTTTGTTTGTCCCTCTTTCGCTTCGTTTTGTCACTTTTGTTTGTGTTTTTGTATTTTTTATTTGTCAAGTGGCTTTCTGCTTTTGTGGCCTGTTGTTTCCCTTTTTTACTTTTTACGGTCACTTTCACTCAACACCGAACGCAGAAGGGGAGCCGCCTCAACCAGCAATAATTATAATTACAATGATAATAAATATTAAAGCACTTTACATGCGTTCACTTTTCCTTAATTTTCCCCCAAATATCTTTCGTTTGTTTTTTCTTGTTTGCTGTTTTAGTTTCTGGCTTTGTTGCTGGAATATTTTAGTTTCATAATTCCATGGCCAGTTGCTGCCACACTTTGGTTCTATTTAGAGGAAACATTGGCCCGATCGAAAAGGATAAACAAATATAACACAGCCTAATTCTTAGGAGATATTTCTCCGAATTCGCAAACACCATTCTTGGAGCTGTCAAAAAATGCACATTGCGTCTTCTTAATTAATTCTAAAATCTGTAACGCATCTTTATTGATGTTTCTTTTAGCTCCATTACTGCTCCACATATTCCCTATCAATATCATTTACTCAGTAATTAAATTCCATTTGTCCTTGGGTCAAGGTCGTTGCAGTGTCGTTTTCCATTCACCAGTCCCACACTCCGACTCCGAATCAAGTTCGTTGCTGCAGTCTTTTCTTTTGTTTTGCCATCCACTTTCCCGGTTCCCCCCCCCCCCCCCCCCCCCCCACCACTTGGGGAGAGGGCAACTGAACCTGTCACCCCAATTCCCCCGCTCCACCAGCCAGCTATTGGCAAGCATTTTCCAATTACATTTTCAATATTCGATGCTTGTCCGATGCTTGCTCTCCTCGGCCGCTTCGATCAATCGATCGATTGGTAGCCAATCCGTTACTCTGCCGCTCCTCTGTTGCTTCTCTGCCGCTCCTCAGCCGCTTCGATCCAATGTAAAAACCGAAAAATCCCCAATCCAATATCAAATCGAATTGCTCTCTTTTTTTCACAACTTTTCGAGGCGGTGCCGCACACACAACAAAATTCACACACAGCACAACAACAACAACAACAAATTGTATTATGAAAAAAAATAGGAAAAAAAATTAAATGGACGCAAAATGCGAGCACGCGACTGGCGCTGGGGCCTCGGGCTTTAAGTTGATTTTCGGTTTTGATTTTGATTTGTATTTTTTGTTTATGTTTCGAATCGGTATCGGGACTTGGCGCATGCGCGGCCTGCAGACCATTTTCAATGAGCGTTCGAGTTGTACTGAAGCCGGCCGCACCGGCGACAACGTTTCAACGGCGCTGCCACTGCCGCTGCTACTGCGCCGCTGCGGTTGCTGCTGTGGCTGTTGCTGGTGCTGGTGGGCTGGCGGCTTGGAATAGAGAGCGGTGGGTAGTGTGCCTCTCTAGAAGAAGTTTCGATTCTGTGCCAAAGCCTGCAACCGAATCATTCAGTGTCTATTGCCCCCGGGGCGTGACCTGTCATCAGCAGCAGCTTCGATTCATAGCTTAAGTGCCTCGTTTACCTTGACCAAGTACACTGCGATCCGATCGGATTCGACGACCGACGATCGCCTCTCCGTTTACACAGAAAGTGGGGAAGGTGAACAGCATTCTGTGGACAGGTTTTTGAGTTCCATCTTCAGTTCAGACATTTCACTTTGGTCAGCAGCAGCAGCATCTGCCTTTGACTGCCTTTCCCCCAATTGACAAATTCAAATTCGATTGGGTTTTTCTTTCACTCGAGACGCACGAGACGCACTTTCAGCGGGGAAGCGGGACCAAATTGATTTGGTTTTTGATTACAATGCGTTCGTCTGTCTCATTGTGGTCGCTGCTCTCGTTGCATAATAAACAGATAGACTGAGGGGAATGGGAGATGGTGGAGCTACGGCAATATGTCGATGGTATGCCTCAATGCACTTCTCCTCGTAATCGAGCGGCCTAACTACTGTGATCTGTTTAATGGGCAACAAAATGAAAGAAAAGCAAACAAATGACAGATGTGGCACTTTCAAGATGTTTTACTCTGGGCTTTTATTTCTGGGCTTAAGAATTCAACAAATCTAAAAATGCAAAAAATGTTCAAAATGCAGAGCCATTCCACACCACTGATCTACTTGGTGTAAATCTTTCTTATTATACCCGGTACTCGAAAGGTAAATGGGGTATATTGTATATCCATTCCGTAGGGAATGGCCATATCTATCAGATCGTCAAATTGGGATCCGATGGATCATTATTATATCCAGAATGAAGAAATTAATTTCCAGTGGCTAAACCCACCCTGTGCCGCAGATTTTATTGTTCTTTTCACATCGAGCTTCACTCGGCCCCTGCCTCTGCCGTCCCCCTGCCACTGCCTCTGCCGACTTTTAACCCACCCCGTCCCGCAGCTTATATTTGTTTTTGTTTTGTGTGCGGGCGCTGCCTCTGCCGCGACTCTGCAGTGTGTGGGTCTAGGGAAGAGCGGCGCACAAAGGAGCGTGTTGGTGTGAGAAGTGTTGTTGATGTAGATGACAGATGAAGAAAAAATGTAAAATTTGACAAATAACCGCTAAGGTGCAGATGTTGTACTGAGTGCCGGGTATAAAAGTTGTGACGCGTAAGAAGCGTCTCACACGTCACTTCCCGTTTTTGGATTGCCTTCGCAATGGTTTCGTATGCGTTTTGCTTGTGTGAATCTCTTCATTTTGACGCGCTTGACATATGGAGTAAGTGAAGCAATTATTTTGTGGCTTATTTGTAACATTTGCCATTTGCACAAAACGTTGATTGCCTTAACCGCAAAGATGAAGTGAAGTTACTCCCTTTCAGAGGGTAACCTTCTTCTCTCCTTCTGCATTTTTGGTTTTTAAATTTTATATTTTTTTTGTTTTTGTCTGTGTCTGTGACAACTTTTGACACAATTTAACGCTGACGTGACAAAATCGTCAGCGGCTTTTGCGTTTGGCTTGACTTGTGCCGCACTTAAATCATTTTTCAGGGGAAGCCACACACAGCCCAACAGCTCGAGGAGCAGGAGGAGACGAGCTTCAGGCAGAAGAGACTTGGTGCTGGAGGAGGTTTGCGGTAAGGTTTTTCCAAGTGCTTTATATTTGGTGCGCTTGCGCTTTGACTTTGCCTTTTGCACACACTCCGAATTGCAACACAACAAATAATAATACAAGACTCACAGCACAGCACAGCCAGCCAGCAAACAAAAAATGACAAAACCCATAAACTCTTGACATGACATGGCCAAAATGCTGGGTGAGATGGATGCGGAGTTGGAGTTGGAGTTGGAGTTGAGTGGCAGGGCTGTGTGTCATGGAAAGGAACTTTGGAGCATCGCAGGGGCCAAAATGTGAAGTGCCACTAAATTATAGCCACGGATGGGAGTAGGAAGTATTTACAAGTACGGGGGAACCAGATCCATATCTGGCCATATCTATCACACTGATGTCTCCATTGAGTTGAGTTCTTTCTGTCTCTTCTGGTCTAAGGCGTTGGCTGTGTCGTCCACCGTTGCCGTTAGCCCGTCTCCCTTCCACCCAAATGCTGTTGCCTGCCTGCTTTTACTTTATTCGGCCATTCACTTTCTCCGTGTGTTGTTTGCTTTGCTAATTTTCGGATTTGACTTTGTTGCCGTAGTCTCGTTTTCTTTCTTTACCTCTCTCCCTCTCTCTCTCTCTCTCTCTCGAACAACAGCAACAGCAGAGAAGCGAACGGCAGGGAGAAAAGTGAAACAGACAGCCAACAAAACGGACGCAAAATTGATTTTTTCTACACATTTTTTGTATACATATTTATATTTATTCGAGAGTATTATGATTTTTGAGCAAATGTTGAATAGTGCCAAAGAGGAAGAAGTTCGTAATCAGCATAAATAGTCCATGAGTGCATGTGAGGGTATCAAATGCTTCGGTCTGGCTTGTGTCTGGTAAGTATGCAAAAAGGCAAAAGAAATTATTCAATCGCGTGGCTAAGATTATTCAATCCAAGCCAATCCACATATGCAGTGGTAATATCTACGACGAAAACCAGATCATTCCTCAAATTATGTGCAATACTGACGTCACTTAACAGATTTCATCATACACTAATTGTGCCCCAATTCTGGCCCCATAAATCAGTGAGCATAACAATTCAACTGGCTGGCGGCGCAATGCCAAGTTCGTTGCTCAAGAGGCCGGATGGATGGCTGGAGCTCACTCTGCAATCTATGTCTCTGGCTGCCATTTACTGGCGGTAAGAGTTAAAGCCCCCCAATCAATCGGTCGTCAATGTTGTTTGGCTTGTTAATTAGCAACGAAAATTAGCTGCAAATTGTATGCAGACACGCGGCCTCAGGCGACAGGCAGCCAGGCCACTGCAGGAGATTGTGCAAGATCCTTCCTGCCAGGCATCGTCAAAGTTTTTATGCTCTTTCCTCGACCGTTATGCAGAATTTAAGTATACTCGTAAAAATGACAAATTTCACATAATGGAATGACGTCTCCTCCCAGTTCGATTGCATAACAGCCAAGAGCCGAGAGATGACGGCAGTCAGTCAGTCCGGCCTGTGTCAAAGACAAACAAAACTTGAGCCGACATTTCAGCAGAGAGAAGGAGGCACCTTCAGTCCCGGCAATGTGTTTTGTGTGTGCGTTTGTTGACCGTCAAGGCAAACAGGAAGGAAACCCAAGCCGGACTCGCTCTCTCTCCTGACAAGCAAATTAAAATTCAAAGATTGGACCTGTATTTGATTTAGATGGCTTGATTTATGAGCCGGTCTGGCATGTAAATGAGTTGCTGCTGCTGGTGGCAAGCTGAAAGTAGGCGAAGGTTAAAGTGCAGATAAGCTAAGCGCCGCTCGAATATGGTTCGATTCCACCGCTTGAGCATTCTAATCGTGAGGGAAAAAACCAATTTGAATATTGTTTTTTGAACGGGCAACGGGACGCAAAGCAGTGGTGCTGCCAGTGTGACCGACCAGCTATCGATACTTTTTCCATATATCGATGCATCGAAACAACTATCGAGTGTTTCGTAGGTCAGACAGCTGGTCGCCCCCGTGCATGAAGCAATTATATAGGGAGGGCCCGTCGTCAAAATAAGGGAAACGTCACAATGCTGTCAATAAGTGCGAATGAAAGGGCCTTGCTCTGTAAGACACGATGGAGTGTGCTGATTAGCCCTTTGATTGCATGCGGTTTAAAATTGCCCATTGCAAGAAAAGGAGTAGAAGTTTCCTCTTCTATTTTGATTTTTAATAATTCACTACTTGAAAGTAGTCGTTACTTTTGTTTTTTTATATATATATATATTATATATAATAAAATAAATTGCAACAAAAATAATATATCAAATAGGGAAGGGTTAATATATGCGAAAAAAAATGTTTCGGGGCCCAACCTTCCGCGTCGACAAGCAGAAATAGGAAACTCTAAGGGGAAATGACACGACGAAAGCAGCCGACGACGGGCCCTCCTTTTGTAATTGCTTCATGCCCCCGTGCATGTGTTGCTATGCATGTGTGTGTGAGTGTGGATTTATTCATAGCGAGAGAGGTGCCAAGGAAAATCAGAAGTTTTGGGGATGTGAAGTAGGTTTTTATATAATATTAGTACCCATATACACACACATTGCCTTAACGAAACGAAATTATCAAAGTAATATCAGCACACACCTCGATCATAGGCGAGTGCGGTCGAAGAAAGGCTACGACAATTCTGCATTTGTGTGTGCGCGTGTGTGTGTGCACTAGAACACCATTGCAGTTGTATGTGTGTTTGGTTTTGTGTGAATGAAAAACCTGCAATTGTGAAAAATATAACCAAAAATAAAGGCAATTCGGGCGACGGCGGCGGCAACGAGTACGACGACGATTGTGGCCAGTGTGAGAGTGCGTTGACTTGGTCGCAATCCGAATCGCAGGAGCAGGAGCAGCAGGGCGGGTGAGTACATACTATTATGATATGCCCACACTAGGCTTGGGCCTGAGAGTGGGATCCCAAGTAAGTCCCATTCCTACTGCGGCACATTCATTCACTCCAGTACTCTCGGCGGTCTTTTCCAACAGGATGGCGGACGCTCAGCAGCAACAGCGGACGCAACAGACGCCAGCGGTGGCTACTGGCAAGAAGAAGTGCAAAAACAAGAAGAAACTAGTTGAAAAGCCAAAACTGCAGTCGCCGTTGCAGTTACAAGTGCAATCGCAGTCGCAGTCGATTATACAGCCAGTGGCCAATGGCCATGCCGGCCATGAGGATGCGCCAGAGCTAGTGTCGGATGCGGATGCGGTTGCGGCGTTGATCCTGGAGCATGAGTTCCAGCAGTTGCACATCTGCAATGGCCATGGGCATGGCGCTGGTGAGGAAGTAGAGGCGGCCAATGCCACGCCCCTGCCAGCACTGAATGGTCATGCTCATGGCCACAATAACAACAATAACAATCACATCCGAAGCAGCAGCAATAGCAATAGCAATAGCAACAACAGCCATTACAACAACAACGTGGACAGCAGCAACAATAATAAAGCGAAAAGGAACAACAGCAAGCAGAAGAAACATCACCATCAGCAGCAGCAGACCACCACCATAACATCCACAATAGCCACTAGCGACACCACTGCCAATACACAAACAACAACAGCAACAACCACAAAGACAACGCCGTCAGCGGTGGCAGCGGGGACTGAGATGATGGCATCGACATCCGTTGAGGCTGTACCAGCAGCCGTTGCAGTTGCAGTTGCAGTTGCAGATGCAGCCGCCTTGCCCACAGTTGAGCTCCAGCTTGAACCTGCCACATTAGCCACGGAGATTGTCTACAAGGAATACGAGGCCGAGCATCAAATGCACGTGGGTAGACTCAACATTTGGGCATGGTTCCGTGCGCACCTTGAACATTGAACCTTGAACCGACATTTTGCTTCTTCCACTAAATCCCAACTTGTTTCATTTCAGGACATTATGCGTCTGATCCAGGCAGAGCTCTCCGAGCCTTATTCGATATACACGTATCGCTATTTCATTTACAACTGGCCAAAACTGTGCTTCCTAGCCTCGCATGGTGATCAGTACGTGGGCGCCATCGTATGCAAGCTGGACATGCATATGAACGTGCGACGCGGCTACATAGCCATGCTGGCGGTGCGCAAAGAGTATCGTAAGCTCAAGATCGGCAGCACACTGGTAACCAAGGCGATTGAGGTAACTATGAGAGAGGGGGAGAGTAGAGTGAATGTCCCTAAACTGAGCTTATTTTTTTGTTTGCAGGCCATGCTGGCGGACAATGCCGATGAGGTGGTGCTCGAGACGGAGATGCGCAATGAGCCGGCGCTGCGTTTGTATGAGAATTTGGGCTTTGTGCGTGATAAGCGACTGTTTCGCTACTATCTTAACGGTGTGGATGCGTTGCGCCTGAAACTCTGGTTCAGATGAGTCGAGCCGGCGGCTGCCGTTGAAATTGTCGTCTAAAAGTAGCCGCCAACGCCATTTGCCGAAGACGACGACAACACCGCCAGCAGCAGCAGCAGCAAACTGAAGCCACAGCATCAGCATTACTTCCAGACCACTGTTCTGCAGTGTGATCCCAATGTCCCTGCTCATCGGCGGCTAACGATATCTTTTTTTTTTGTGTACACCCCCCCACATTCTTGCGCCCTCCTATCTGCTTCGTTTCGTCTCGTATCGTCTCTCTTTTTCCCTTTGAATTTTAAATTGGCTATTTCCTCCTTCCTTCCTTGATTCTTTGTGCAAACGTATGGCTTAGACACACATACACACACACACATACACACATATATATATATATATACATATATATATATGTATATATAAACAGATTGAAGTACTTTTACGGAAGGCAATTTTTGTATGGAATTACGTGATTTACATGCATAAAAGAAACAATACCTTAAACTATACCTTAAGTTCGTAAGCGAGCAAATTAGTTTATGTACGTTTAAAACTACCTTTAAATAGGCAATAGACATACGGCGCTTCGTATTGTATCGTATCGTATATATGAGAACGAAGATCTATCTATCCATCATCGTGCACCATCGCCAGCCACGATTCAGATGCCACACAGAATGAATTAATATATACACATACATATGCCACACGCCACACACAGAGACAAAAAGCTATACCACTTAGAATCAAATTTTTTTGTATAAAAGATCCGCAGGAGCCAAGGAGATCGGGAAGGAAATTCTAGCGAACTACTCAATTGTATATCAGAAAACTAAAAAAATAAAAACGAAATGGAAATATTGGAATAAAACTATAAGGGCATGCGACAGAAACAGACAAAAAAACATATTGTAGCGATATATACATACATATATATATATATATATACATATATCCGTATACCTGTACGACTATGCGATTGCGAGTGTAATAGGTTTAAAGATGGATCGATCGATGGATCAAGCCAGGAGGAGACTACTAGTTCAAAATAGTGGCCCCACCCCCACCCAAGTGGATGCCTTAACTCATATTCGGCTCTCATATACGGTCAGGTTCGGTTCATCCATCCCAGAGACGACCATTGGCCCTCGCCTCAAGTTTTGTTATCGATTAGTCGAAAGAGAAGAGGGAAGACCCCAGCCCCTACACATACAACTGAAGATGAGGTGAATCAAATACCCATTAAAACTAATATTGAAAGAATGAAATAAAAATTTCAGCAATAACGAACATTTGTCTGTAACTAATACTTGCTGGAAAGGGATCTTTGATTTAAATTTGAATTTCCATAACAGAAAATGGGTACATACTAAGTTCCAATGGATTGCTGCCGCAAGATCTAAGGTCCCCCCTTTTATTTTCCATTAGAGAACCCATTGAAGAGTCCTCTGATAATTTTGGTTTTTATTTATCATAAAAAAAGTGTTTAAAATACTCAACATTTTCATTTGTTTTGTGGATCCTAGAGCTTACGAACGAGTTTGGGGTGTGGTATGGGCTACCTTAATGGGAAGATTAACAATATTGAACAACATTCAGTTTTAGCTTTATGTTTAGCCGGCTTAAGCTTACGTTAATTGCCAGGTCAGGGGTCACGGGATCAGACTAACTTTACGTATGTACATGGGTCTACACAACGCCCCCGTTGTAGACTTTGGTATCATCCTATCACCTGCTGCGCCTGTTCTTGCTGTTGGGACTGGAACTGGGTGCTGCCGCCGCACTGGAGGATTCCCGCAGCTGCTTTAATTCAGTGCGCGTTGCGGCCTTGATGCTCTGCACTTGCTGCCGCACCGAAACGTTTTTGTAGGCCACAGGGGGAGACGCCGTCGCACCTCCATCTGAGGATAGACCTGTCGTTGACTGTTGCTGCTGTTGGTGCTGCTTCTCCTCGAAGAGATCGCTGACCTCGACCATGCGCGGCTTGAAGAACATGTTGGGACGAATGACCGCCTTCTCGGGATGCTTGAAAAGATTGAGCAGGCCCCAGGATTCATCCTGGCGCTCGCTCTCCTGCAGCGTTGAGTTCTCCACCTCCGATTCGAGTATCCAGGCCGCATTCCGCACCTCGATGCGCAGCCGTTCGCACTCCTCCAGGCTGACGTTCTTGCTGACATTTAGGAGCTGCTCCAGCGGATTCACAATGTACATGGCCGAGTGATCCGGCTTGGCCAGCTGCCGGCCCTCGTTCAGAGAGATGGCCCGATTGTGGAAGTCAAACTGCGAATAGAACTCGAAGAACTGCAGCAGCAGCTCGCTCAACGAGCTGGTGTTTCGGCTCTGGAAGCCCACACGCTCCAGGTCCCGGCCGAAGGTGCAGTTGATCCCATCCTCGGTGACACGCACATCCTTCGCTTCAGCCGCCTTCACCAGAGCCCCAATGGTGGGCAGTATGGGCTGTCGCAGCTGCTGCAGAAAGTACATGACCAGGCAGGTCAACGAGAAATTGCTGATCCAGCGCCCAGGCGAGGGATTCGTCAGTCCGCACGCCTGCGCCCATCGTCGAATGCTAAAGGTGAGCGGACGCACTCTCTGATCGATCTGCCCGAACATATACAGCAGCTCGGACATGTAGAAGCCAGAGCTGAAACAAAAGAGAGAGAGAGAGGATGAATCAAAAGGGGTTTCCAGTCACGGGCGTGGCCTACTACGCGGTTCATTGAATGAATGAATGAAGAACTGACCCACCCCCACTACCACTCGCCGGATGTGATTGCAGTCCCCTGCCGAAACCCCGAATTGTTTTGTGAATCATGGCCATCGGCATGCCAGTCCGCCCAAGAGAGAGGGAGAACTGATTCACCTGCTGGTACGGCTGCTGCTGCCCCAGAGAGAGAGAGAGAGCGACACAGAGCGAGCGCCTTGTGTGGCAGCGGCATTTGGCAATCGCCACCTGTCGCTATCTAATCTTATCGAGGCTGTGGCCAAAGCTTTGGCTCGGTTCTGCCCTGTGGCAATATCTTATCTAAGACCTCTCCCAGGCCATGGTATGGTGTCACCCTCGTATCTCTGGCTGTGGCTCTGTAACGCTGAGGCCTGGTCAAAACGATTTCAACGAACGAACCCAACGGAGCGCTCTCCTATTTTTGCTGCCACGCAACTTTATTTTTATTTTTTTTTTGCTGGTGATCCAAAGAAAATCAACAAAAACAAGGTGACAAAATTACTATAAGAAGAAAGCCCATAATTTACTGCTAGAAGTGTGGAGTTCTACGCGTTTTTTGAACCCAAAAGGATCTGTGTGTGAAAGTTATGTTCAAGAGAGAGAGAGAGAGAGCTCCCCAGGAGCTAAAACTATTCTGTGCACTAAGAGGACATTTCCCACCTTGAAGGGAAAGTTCTGTTTCTGTTGGGTTTTTGGTAGTGTGTTGCAATTGGAACTGGCATTAATCATCTAGTGTGTGAGCTGATAACGTTATTTGCTAAACACAATTCCGATAAGGCGGCCAACAGAGAGCGAGAACCAACATCGTGATTAATACACAAAAAGAGTGCTGCTAGGGCGGATTCACAGGCTAGGGCTGGGGCGAGAGCTTTTGGTATGTGACTCAAGAGGGAATCAAAAACGAAAAAGGAAGCCCAGGCAGCGTGCGCGAAAGTCTAGATGAATCACTCGATTCCTGGGGCACACAAAACGATCAGTTCAATGTCTTAACATATCTTTCTTTTCGCTCCATTTCTTTACAGCCTGCCGCATTATGGGTATTGGGTATGGAGCCTCTGACGAGCAGCTGGAGAAGCAAATCGGTTGCGTCAAATACACGCTCTTTTGCTTCAACATTGTGGCCTGGATGATAGCCACAGCATTGTTCGCCCTGACCGTCTGGCTGCGTGCCGAGCCGGGCTTCAATGACTGGCTGCGCATCCTGGACGCGCAGTCCTTCTACATCGGTGTCTATGTGCTGATCGGTGTGAGCATCATCATGATGGCGGTGAGCTTCCTGGGCTGCCTGAGCGCCCTCATGGAGAACACCCTGGCCCTGTTCGTCTTCATTGGCACGCAGCTGTTTGGCTTTGTGGCCCTGGTCGCTGGATCGGCCGTCACAATGCAGTACAGCACGATCCACTCCAGCCTGCAGCCGCTGCTGAATGTGTCGCTGCGTCGCTTTGTGTCCACCTCGGAATACACATACTCCAACTATGTGCTGACCATGATCCAGGAGAATATCGGCTGCTGCGGCGCCAGCGGTCCCTGGGACTATCTGGACCTGCACCAGCCGCTGCCCAGCTCCTGTCGCGACACTGTCAGCGGCAATGCCTTCTTCAATGGCTGCGTGGATGAGCTGACTTGGTTCTTCGAGGGCAAGACCAGTTGGATTGTGGCCATGGCCATGACCCTGGCCATGCTCAATGTCATCTGTGGCACAATGAGCTTCGTTCTCGCCCAGGCCGTCAAGAAGGAGGAGGAGCAGGCCAGCAACTACCGCCGCTGAGCCTAGACACACACATAACACACACAACACACACACACATACTTAAGTTAGCAGTACAGAAGCGACAAGAGACCCTGCGGATAGTTAGTACGACCCACTAGTTAGATCCTAAGTAATCCCTCACCCACATCCAATCCGAACAATAAGCTTACAAATAAAGATTTAAATGCGACTCGGCGACGCAACCCCAACCCCACACTGAACGTTAATACTCACAGGTTGCTCATGGAGAGGTCCACCTCCAGGTTTAGATGCTCGTGATGGTACTTGATGATGGGCACGCGGGCCTGCAGAATGCGCCGCACATGACAGACGCCGGGCAGAAAGAGGTGCAGCATGTCGCCAAAACATTCCATGTGCCGCTGCGTCTGCGATCGTCCGTTGCTCAGGTTCTCCTTGGTGTGGTAGATGAGCCGCGAAGGCGGTTCGCCATCCGACTCTTTTCGCACGCCAGTCTCGCCATCGAAGCGTAGGATAAGGTCCAGATCGCAGCCCATTCTGCCGAAGCCGTTTACCGAGGAGCCAAACGGGTGCGCCTGTGCGGCGGGGAACATCCCAGAGATGGCCTGCTGCACCTGCAGAGCGGCCAGGAAGCGCATGCGTACGCCGAGATCGTTTAGCTGCGTGTGCTCATGCAGCAGTTGCACCTGTTGCTCAATGCTCGCCGCACAGCGCAGCTGACTAAGCAAAGAGGCCTGGTCCAGCTGCCTGGTGCCGTCCACTGATAGCAGGTCGCTGAGCGGCAGCTGGCTGTTGTTGTTATTGTTGGTGTTGGCGGCCAGTTTGGGCCCACGCCTCCCGGGTGCCGCCTTGAACCAGAGGAAGGGCGAGCGTACGGGCACACCGCTCAGATCACCATTGGCGGCACCCGAGTCAATGGCAGCCGCTGCCTCATTGACTGTGGAGTACTCCAGCAGAATGTAGTGCAGATCGTCGTCGTGTCGCACGCAGTAGTGATGCGCCCCCACAATGGAGCCGAAGCGACTGCAGTAGTTATACAATTCCGAGTAGGACTTCTCGGAGCTGACCTGGACGACGATGCTGCGCTGCGCTTGGACCTGACGTCCGCCAATGAACTCGTCATAGTTGGGCTTGCCTAGCGAGCAAAGAGAAGAGGATAAGTACGATGGATGGAAGCTGCTAGCTGGTCGCCCTTACCTCTAGACAGGGAAGCAGATGCGGCTTCTGTGGTGTATTGTTTTACGCAATATTTTCGCCAGAGCTGCACGTTCTGGGCTCGGCGCATCAGATTGTTCATGGCGGGTATGTGTGGCTGACGGGTGGAGATCCTAGCACTGATTCATGCGTCCTGCAATTCCGGCGTTCAACTTTAACAAATAGTCCCCTGAATATTAGGTTGCACTTGATTTTGGTGGGGTTAGGGTGAACATCCAGCTGTTTGGCGGCCTGTGCTAGGGCTGCAGTGTTACCAAGTTCTGATCTCAATGCTAAATGTTTCTGATCAATGATAATATCTATGTTGAAAACACATTAATTGAGCTTGAGTTTACAAGGTGGTGTTCGTTTTAAAACAGTAGTTTTCAATGCACAGGCACTTATCGAAGCCGAGGGCAGAGTGTTCATCCCTGGTGGCCCAAGTGATGAATTTATTAAATGAAATTCTACGATAATTCACAATAAATAATAAATGTTATTTAGTTTTCACTAGTCTATGGCATATTTTACCTACTCTTTCATTCAAGAAAACGTTTATAACATTTTTGCAGCGGAAAATGAAAAATTGCCAAGTTATCGACAACTTCGATTGTTTGTGTGCTGGCGGGAACATTTAAATTTCTCGCCTGAATTTTTCAAATACACATTTATTGAGTTATTATCGGTATTACATTGAGGGATCTGCTCTCCACTGGGTTGTTCGTCTTTATTTCGTACAACTAGATTTAATTATGCTATATATATATATATATGTGTATATTCACGTACAAAAACGAGACACCCAGAGGGTATATTTTCCAAATGTGTATAAAGGGTCGACTCGCACTTTACATTCCCTATTTACTTTGGGCTTGTTATGTTACATTTAAACAACATGTGTGGCGTATACATATATATTGTAGTATGTGTGTTTTGCATGGTATATACATAAATACGGTGTGAGTATATAGAACTTTCTGATTATTCGGTTATTTCTGATATCTGCAGGGGGATCTGATTACCTTTAAGTGTGAGTTCATTGCATATATGTGCGGCTTAAATTATAACTGATCTGGGATCTTAGATTTACGTTTACATTGTTATTGTTCATTGGGTTACGGGAATACAGTTGTGAGCCATAGGGTGTTTATGTTCTATAAATAAATAGTTGGTGTTTGTTTTGAATGTTTCATTGAATTTTGTTTGAAAGGGACATTGTGTGCTGTGTGTGTGTGTGTGTGTTGGTTGTGCCTCTCTTCACTTCGCTTCTTGCTTTCAAATGCAAAGTCGTCAGATCCTGAAAATTTAATTTTTTCTTTTGTTTGTTTTCTTTTTTGGTTTTACTTATTATCTCAGTATCACATATGTCTCCTTCAAAATGCTGTCGGTGTGCGGAAACATATCCATTTAGCAACAATTTTACACGCTTTTTGCTTTTGTTTTTTTTCTCTCTCTTTCTATCTAGAAATAACTACGCGAACAAGGAACACACTGCAAGCGTGCCAAAAACTTAAGTTAATTCAATTAGTATTAATATAAAAGAAAAGGACTGCTCTGAGCTGCTACGTCTGTCTGTCTGTCTTTCATGTCCGTCTGTGCGCTGTGCGTGCCTGTTGTGGTATGAGTGTGCGGGTGCCAGTGTGCTGCTTGTGCTGGTAGGAAAAAGGGGGAATTCGATCGTAAATGCCTGTGCCTGGACTAAACATAATTGTATCCTTAGCTCCTAGCTTAAAACACACGAACACATACACATCCATACACTAAAATACAAACATACATATCGTATAGTCATGTAAGTATATAGTTTAGTTGAGTTCTCTTTGTTTTGTTTTGTTTCAGTTGAGTTTAGCTTAGTTTCGTTTTTAGATTCAGTTTTAGTTTAGCTCTAGCTCTAGCCTTGCAGAAATGCACTCAAATATTGCTTGCCACAGCTGCACAGCCACGTCTGCCACCGCCGCTCCCACTCCCACTGCCATTGTCTAGATGTCATCGATCAGGCGACCCTCGATGACTGACGAGTGATGGTAGTTGGGCCGTGGCCGAAAGTCCTCGTTCTGTTCGTTCAGCTGCGTCGGCGAAAGATCTACGCCCGGGCATGAGGGCGTCACCACAATCTGCTCATACTCATGCATGCGCTTGCTGCACGTAAGCAAGAGAGAGATGGCTATGGTTAGATGGCTGCACTTCGAACTGTGTGCCCTACTTACCCGAAGCATCTGAATATGACGCTCTTGACCCAGGCGAAAAAGTTGAACTCGGCTGTCAGGCCCGGCTTGACGGCTGGATTGGCTGTGCCCACATAGAACCAAACGACAAAGACCACCAAGAAGCAGGTCAGAGCGTAGTACCAGTTGACCAACAACATCACCAGCAACTTGACAAAGGCCTAGAAGAAAGCCAAACGATGCACATATATAGAACATATGCCAATCCGGTAGAATCAATAGCTTACCCCTCCCAGGGAGAACCAGCGATTGCAGTAGCCAGAGTACCAGTTTTTCGTCTTGGAATGTATGGGCGGACGGATGGGTGCAATCGGTTCGTTCTCATCCTCGCTACCGCCCTGCGTGGCCGACTGCTCCACTGACAGGGCAGTGGCATCTTCTGTGCCCGTTTCTGTGACTGTTGTCGCTGCTGAAGCCCGGGCTGCCTCCGCTTGGCTCGAAGCCGGCGCTGGCGTGGAGGTGCTAGGCCCCTCCAGGTCGAACTCCATTGGCGCTGCCTGGTGCATGGGCGAGTTCTGGGGACTCTGCAAATTCTTGTGACGCACTCGATCGGGGAAGAGCAGATCCAGGTCATTGCCACCATCAGACACGCTGCCGTAGCGACGTGTCTCGTAGCTGGGGCTCGAGGCCTGGATGCGGAACCGCTCCTCGCGCTGCTCCTGTATGTCAAAGGTCTGGGCCAAGGCAAAATAGGCGTAGTTGATGCAGGCGTAGGTCAGCAGGAAGGGCATGGTCACAATGGGGGCCAGGAAGTTAATGTCACCGACCATAATGAAGGTTACCGTCACCATTGCCACAATAGCCATGGCATACAGAGGGACTTTGTTAGGTCCGCGCTGCAAGGGAAGATACATTTGTGATTACACATTTCTAAGGAGACGTTAAGGCTACTTACACCCTTGCCCAGTACATCGATGCCAGGAATGACGCTCTCCTTGGCAATGCTCTGGAGAACGCGCGGTGTGCCATACATGGCGCCCAGGCAGGAGGACATGCTGGATACGTAGATGCCGGCCAGCAGCAGGAAATGCACGGCCGAAACCTTGACGGAGATCATGAAATCTTCGTAGAGTATGGCACGTTGGCACGTGGCGCCCAGGAACAGCACAAACACCAAGTACAAAAAGGTTCTGCCAATGAGAGAGAAAAGTCACGATCTGGGACCATTCGCACCCTATTCGGGGAAACCTTACGAAGTGCCAAAGGCAGCGAGCGTTCCGTTGGGTATGTCTGTGGAGGGAGCACGCAGGTCACCGCTCATGTTGATGCCCGACAGGACGCCGGTCACAGTGGGAAAGAAGACACCAAAGACGCGGAACCACGAATACCCATCCTCGTATCTTGGCCAGAGATTTTCTGCAAAGTTGCCGCTCATCCAGCCATCAAAGCCTTTATCTGTGATGGAAATCATATGATGAGTAAGGGTCAGACGCTGAACGAAATGATCTCACCTGGATCTACACCCACAAAGCTGCCCACCATAAAGTCCAGCGCCGAGATGAGCAGGATCATGAGCAGAATGAACTGCAGCTTGATGACCCACTTAACGCCGGCCACATTGATGCAGCCCAGGAGCAGAACAGCAGCGGTGGCAAAGCCACGAATGGCCCACTTGTTGTCCTCCAGTCCGACCAGCCCGGCCATCGACTCGCCGAATCCCATAACATTCAGGGCACAGCCCACAGCCTGTCCAAAGCAGTAGAGCAGACCGAGGGCGCCACCGAACCGGGAGCCCAGGGTGTGCGCAATCAAAAAGTAAACGCCTCCGCTCTCCACACGGCAGCGTTCGCAGATGCCGATGGCCGAGAGGACGCTCACCAGGGCAATGAGGACGGTGCAGACGATGATGGCCACTGCATTGATAATGCCCGCCTGTGCCACGATCCAGCCCGAGCGCAGGAACACGATCACACCAAATACGTTGATCAGGCAGGAGGTGAAGACCCCATCCCAGGTGCCGAACAGCACCGGTTGCGAGATGAAGAAGTTCGAACGCCACCTGTTGAGTGTTGGATCAAAGAAAAGGTTTGTGCTGTAGTCCGGGGGCGGCGCCAGGAATCGGGCCTATGGATTACTCACCAGGGCTTGTCGCCTTGCTCCCCGGCGAATATCTCGTTGGCTCCGGAGGCATGGTGTCCACCGGCCGCGTATGTGTACTCGTTGCCCAGGTCAACGAATCCGCCCGTGTTGTTGTTGGTCCGCTGGCGAAAGCCGGCCACGGACACCTCACCGTCATCATCGCCGCCAAGACCGAAGCGCTGCCAGTCGACAGTGCGCCGGCTCCCGTTACTTTCCGCCGTATTACTCATACTTCGCTCCCGTCTTCGTGTGTGTTAATATGTAGGTGTGTGTGGGAGAGAGAGTTGCGAGTTTTGGGCGCTAGTTGTTGCTGTTGTTGTTGCAGCCGACTTATTCCTGGCCTCTGCGATGAGGCTATCTATCGACTATTCTGGCCTAATCGCGGCAATTAACTGATTGCTATTTATTGACTTCTTGGCTGGCTCTGGTTCTGGGTGCGACGTTGCACTGATGATGATGGATACCAAAACACATCCACGCAGGCAAGCGAATGAAAGTTTTGGGCATGTGATTTTTGTGGCTAGAACGGCTCTCCAAATCTGTGGTTTGGCCCCCTTTTCGCTCACTAGCAGCTGGCACGCGCAACAGCGGACCTCATCATTGGAGGCAGGTGGAAACGAATGCAATGCAACTGTTGTCGGTGGTAAATGCGCAAAAAGTTAAATAAAAACACTCTCATATGTAAACTATAAAGTCGTCATCGATAGCTATCCGCGCGTGTGCTGCCACACCGTTTAATTGACGACCCGATTATCGTGGTGCTACCAGATTATTTCCGGCGCGCCAATTTAAATGAATCCAAATTGGGTCAACAAATGTGCATATATATATTCATAAACCCGTTGGATTTTATTCTGCACATATTGATTTCCGTATTCCCGTTCTCCTTGGTAGTTTCAGCTGACGAATATCGATGGAAACTCTTCTTTTATTTGAACATCTGTTTGAGCTCTGACTGGGTGGCAACTCCACCCTGCGGTCTCTGCGGTGCCTGCACGTGTTGACATTTCTTTCCCAGGTTTGTTCTTAACTCAGTGCGGAAAATGGTCAAAAAGAAGGAAAAGTCAGCCAAGGGACCAAAGAAGGCTGACCAGGAAGGACCCACTACATCAGCATATGCCGCCAAGATCGACACACCGGCACAGGGAGATGCACAGACTGGGATTTGGGGCGATGCACGCTTTCAGCATTTGTTGGCCGATCCCCGCTTCAAGGGTGTGCCCAAGGTGCAGCGAAAGGTGAAGATCGACAAGCGCTTCCAGGGCATGTTCACGGATGACAAGTTCAAGGTGAAGTACACAGTGGACAAGTACGGACGGCCGGTCAACACAAGCAATGCCGAAGATTTGCGCAAGTTCTACGAACTGGATGAGAACGACAGCGATGAGGATGAAAAGGAAACTGAGGCGAAGGCTACGAAAGAAGTCGATGTCCAAGAGGAGGAGCAGAAAGAGCGCCGAGCAGAAGAACTGGCCATTGCGCGCGTGGACGGTGAAGAGGCTGGGCTTGAGAACGATGCCCTGGACAGCGACGGCTCCGAGGTGCCAGAGAACTTGCGCGAGCGTCTGATCAACCCAAATGTTGATTATGCACGCGGCGAAGGCCGCCTAATGACGGACTCCTCGTCGGACGACGACACAGACGATGACGAAGGTGCGGAGGGTCCAGAGCTGCAGATCGATCATGTGTGGGGCGAGCTGGACAACGATGCCGAGACCACTGAGGAGTCCACCCGCCGCCTGGCCATCTGCAACATGGACTGGGACCGCATACGCGCTGAGGATCTAATGGTGCTGCTGAGCTCCTTCCTACCGGTCGGTGGGAGCATTATCAGCGTAAAAATTTACCCCTCAGAGTACGGCAAGGCACGCCTGGCCGAAGAAGAGATTCATGGCCCCGCCGAGTTGGTGAAGCGGGACGAGGAGGAGGATGGCGACTCTGACGAGGAGTTGGTCAAGGAACAGGACAGTGACGCCGAGGAGGGTGACGACTATCACATGGAGAAGCTGCGCCAGTATCAGCTCAACCGTCTCCGCTACTACTACGCTGTGGCCGAGTGCGATTCGGTGGCCACCGCTGACAAGGTGTACAAGGAGTGTGATGGCATCGAGTACGAGAGCTCAGCCACGCGCGTCGATCTCCGATTCATACCCGACGATACCTCCTTCGAGGAGGATACGCCAAAAGACGAGTGCTCCGAGCTGCCGGATGCCAGCAACTACAAGCCCCGGCAGTTCACCACGACGGCCCTGCAGCAGGCCAAGGTGGACCTTACGTGGGACGAGACTGCGCTGGACAGACGCGAACTGGGTGACAAACTGTCCAGCGGCCAGGTGGACAAGCTCACCGACAAGGAGCTTCGCCAGATTGTGGCCTACAGCAGCGACGAAGACGAGGACGCAGAGAATGGGGAAGAGGAGCAGCCCCGATCGGAGGAGAAGAAAGAGCAGCAGCCAGAGCAGAAGCAGCCTCAGCCGCCCAAGAAGCTTTCGAAGCAGGAGCGCATTGCTAGCTACAAAAACCTCCTGGCCGAGATTCTGCAGAAAGAAAAGCAGGAAAAGGAGCACAAATACGAGATGGAAATGTCCTGGAACATTGAGCCGGCTGTTGAGGCAAAGGAGGAGCCACAGAAGACGGGCACAGGCAGCGCGGGCCAGCCATCCGAGCTGACGCCCATCGAGAAAGTGATCCAGAAGCGCAGCGAGAAGAACAAGCTGCGCAAGGAGATGAGGCGGAAGAAACAGATCGAGGCACGTGGCGGTGATCCCGAGGACAGCGACGACTCCTCAGTGCCCGATGGCATCGATATGAACGATGCCTACTTCGCGGAGGAGTTCGCCAATGGCGACTACGAGCCACCGAAGACCAAGAAGCAGGGCAAAAAGAAAAACAAGAAGCAGGATCAGGTCGAGGACGCTGGGGTGGAGCAGCAGCAGCAGGAGCTGGCCCTGCTGCTAGACGACGGCGATGGCCTGGAGGAGAAGCAGCACTTCAGCCTGAAAAATATCCTCAAGCAGGAGGAGCTGGATTCGGGCAGCTCCAAGCGCAAGCGGCGCAAGCAGCTGAAAAAGGCCAAGCACCATCCCCAGGAGACGGCCAAACTCGATGACGATTTCACCGTGGACCTCAACGATACGCGCTTCAAGGCCGTCTACAAGTCGCACGAGTACAACATCGATCCCACGCACTCCCACTACAAGGCCACCAAGGGAATGCAGCAGATCATTGGCGAAAAGTTGAAGCGGCGCGAGCGGCAGATGGACGGCGCTGGAGCAGATGAACGCCAGTCCGCCGACGAGTCACAGGCTCCCAAGCGCAGCAAGCAGCAGCTGGAACAGTCGGCTCTGGTAAAGAGCCTCAAGCGGAAACTTCAGCAGCAGCAGCCGAAGCTCTAGGCGATGTGGATTAATGTTTATTTTCTTAATGTAAATTATTAAGTTAGAAAAGTAAATGCTAAACATAAATACGGATACAGACGAGGAACATGAATTACTTGTAGTTGTAGTTAAAGTATTGCTTGTAGAGGAAGGCAGTGATGGAGGGATCCAGCCGGAAGATTTCGGGCACACAGATGCGGCGCTCCTGCTCGTAGACGACCATCAGTTCGCAGATGCGGGACCAGGTGGAGTTGTGGAGGCGTCGTATGAGCTGGCAGTCTAGTTTGGGCCGCGTCAGGCTCACCACAACGGTGTGCACCTGCTGGGGCGTGGCTCCGGGATCGATGAGCGCCAGGAAGGGGCTGCGGCCCACGCACAGCTCGTAGAGGACCAGGCCCAACGACCAGATGTCCGACTTGTAGTCAACCTTTCCAATCCCTGACATAACCTCCGGGGCCATGTACAAGGGTGTGCCCACACCTGCCAGATGCTGCTTGCTGGGCGCATGGACATTGGAGATGCCAAAGTCGGCGATCTTAACGCGATCGCCAGCATCGAGGAGCATGTTCTCCGGCTTGATGTCACGGTGGATCACATTGCGTATGTGCAGGTACTCCAGACCAATCACCATGTCGCCGAAGTAGCGCAGCAGGCGATCCTGCGGCAGGCTGGCAGTATGATGAATGACGTCCCGCAGGGTGCCATTGGGTGCGTATTCCATCACAATGTTGACAGTGCCGGCGTGGTTGAAGGAGCGAATGAACTCAACAATGTTGGGGTGACGCAGCTGCGAGATGATGTAGATCTGGTGGGTGGGAGCAATGTAACCTTACTCCACATGCTTCGTAGACAGAGACAATCGTACCTCTTCCTTTATCAGACTCAGCTCCGTCTTGGGATTACGCACGATGATGCGCTTGACGCAAACCTGGCGCTGCTGGCGACTGCCCTCGTGCTGCAGGCACAGGAAGACGCGGCCGAAGGTGCCCTCACCGAGCACGCGCACGGCCCTCAACATGGGATCGCCCAGATTCATTTTTAGGGGCTTCAAATCAACAAGAATTGAAAATATTTTTCCACATCGCTAGTTTACAGTTAAACGGCATTCAGCAATCCCGCGCGCCCACTATCGATAGTTTCAGAATCGATAAGAGCTAGAAGAACCCGCGCTTTTGAACTCAAATTTAAACTGTCACTACTTGCCTTTGTGCTACTTGAGCGAGCGACTGCGCTTCCTGCCAATTGCGGGCTGTTATATAAAGCGATTTATCACCAAATTGATAAATAATTAATTAAAAATGTTGCCAAGACAAAGCGACAGGCAGTGTTAGACAAGCAAACTGGCCCAAACTGGCCCAAACTGGCATGTTATGCAAATTGTGTTGGATGAGAAAGCAGTTTACTTTTACTTTTCCCACTGGATTATGTGTGTGCCCGCAATGCACATGGTACACTCAGCCAGCAAGCCGCATTTGCCTGCTGCAAGCATACTAACCTACAATAAATCGCCCAGACTGCACTCCAAAAAGGCAGAGGCTCTGCTGCGGCTGCGTCTCTATTCGCATACAGGACGCCCCAGTCCCCGCCGCCTCTTCAAATTCGTTTCGTCTCGAATATCAATTTTGGGCTACTTCAAACTTCCTAAGTTGCTAACATGCACGCGGTGCATTATCTAACAGTTGCTGCATTTTAATTGGATTGAATACTTATTTCTCGTTCGATTTGAGTCGCTTGTGGGGAAATGTCTGCCAAAGAGATGTATAGAGAGTGGGGAGAGCTCATTAACCTTTCACCTGTTTCGTCAGTGCACACCACGCCTGCTGCTGCGTACTTCAGTCAAAACAGTGGAATGCACTTGCATAATGGAGCATAAGAGAGCGGAGGCCCTTCACCATAATTAGAGGCACCGAATGGCAAGCGAATTCCATCATTTATCACTCCATCTGGTGGGATTGATTGGTTTCCATAGCTCTGACTGATGAACGCGGAAGCTCAATTTGCATGTCGATTACCAGATCGATCTTTAATCGATCTTTTAGCAATGCAGCCCTGTATCGTTATTCTTAGCTCCCTTTGCTTCCCGGTTTTTTGTTATTTGTGTGTCATTCTCTTCCCTCTCTTGCTGGCTGGATGCATTTTTGCATCCTTTTGGCCATGGAATTCCCCACACTCTCCTCTTCCGATGACACTCACTCATTTGCCGTTTGTTTCTATGATTGTTTGCTTCTCTCTCTATCTCTCTTTCTCTTTATATCTGTTTTTGGCACCTTTTGAAAAATGCCGTTAATGGTACTTGCACTTGCACTTACACACACACACAAACACACACACGTACACCCGTTGCTCGGACTGGTTTGTGTATGGGGTGGGCCATGGGTGGTTAACCCGTTGGAGCCGATATTGCTATTGATTGGCAACGGGTTTCTTTCGCCTCCTTGGGGGGCTGCATTGCCTTGCCTTGCCCCCAGTGGCGGCCAAAATGCCGTATACGTAATATAATATTTATTTTAATTGAACCACTATCCCACACGCATACTATACGCATCCACATACATACGTACATTGGTATTTGTTTTTGTCGAATTTTCACAAACAATTTTGTGGCAGCGGCTATAAATTACTGAAAGAAAAACGAAGGCTATACATCGGGAGTGTATTGCATCAATTGATACCCCCTCTCCTTGCAGGCGGTATTGGTCCGCTGCCACAGCCACAGCCACAGCCACATGAAAGCAAATAGTCTTAAGAACCAATTTTACCCAAGGCAGAGAGTTACGTAGCACCATGACGACCATGCTAAAAAAACACTTAAAAGAAGATAACGAATTATAAATTGAAGAACTAATAAATTTAATTTAATGTTAAGTTGTTTGGTGTTTGTAGAGTCATGTTTATGTTTATTATTTACCAGCCATAAGCATGATCATTTCTGATTAAAGTTGTTTCACACATTGAAATAACTACAACAACAAAATCCCTAAAATGTGGCTCGTAATTGACATAATTCGTATTAGTATAAAAAATGCTATGCAGATATTTTTGAGCATTTTTGGTTTGGTCTGGGGACTGGTAACGTATCTGGCTCGTGGTACATAAATATCTTTAGATTCATGCGTTAAATGATGACCACCTTAATGACCATTATGATCATTATCATTATCTATATTTGTTTGTAACAATACAGAATGGAGTAAATGTAGGTAAATTATTTTCAAGTTCGAACTTCCAATCGATGTTCCTACACATATATATTGGATATACCCTAACTATCCTCTCAATGGATTGGGTATTTTACGTAGTATAACAAACTCCTCTCATATTTGCCTCCGCACCACCAGTCGCCATGAGATGTTGTTTCTGTCTTTTGCTCTGCCGCCTCGACTTTGACTTGAAGTTCGTTGCCGTTAATCGTTGTTGTTGCAACTTTGTTGCTGTTGTTGTTGCAGTTTGCAGCTACTCGTGTTGCAGCCGCCGTACATTTCACATTTCGCTCTGCTGCTGCTGCTGCTGCTGCTGCCTCGCCTTACCTTTCATTCCCACATCTCTCTCGGCTGTAACTGTGGTCTCTGGGGGTATAAATCGAATCTGGTCCCAATGCTAGAGCCACATTCAGCCTGTCGGCGTCCAGGAGTTCACTTCGCTTCGCATCGCGCAACCAAAAACGATCTTTGGAATATTTGGAATCGAATTTTTTTTTTTCTAAGTGACTTTTCCGTGTACTTTTTTGTGTGCTCCACTCTCTGGTCTCTGGACTCTGGTCAAAAAAAAAGAAAAACAAAGAGAAAAATGCTGAAATTCATTGTAAGCAAACCAAAAACAAACCCCCAGGATAATCCATAAAAAATGTAGAAAAATAAACCAAGAGAAGTTTTTCTTTATGGGAAAAATGAAAGTTCTGTGAAATCAATGGGAATGGGATCCATGTGAGATCTAATGCTGTGCCCTTATTATCCACCTTTTAGCTACCCTGCCTGGCACTGGCACTGGCCCTGCTGGCTGTGAGCGTGAACGCCTTGAAGATCCACGACTATGAGCACCAGGAGCACCAGCCCCATGAACAGCAATACGAGCATCAGGAGCACGCCAGCTATGAGCCGGAGCACGAGGAGACGGAGCTGCATCACGAGGTGGAGCACAAGCATGCCACGTCCCATCAGAGCGTCAAGTTCCATCACTACCATGCCGTTCCCGTGTACATTAAGAAGGAGGATCAGCATCTGGTGAAGAAGCCCATCGAGATCGGCGGCACCAAGCAGAAGCTGAAGATTCTGCACCCCAAGACCGAGCACAACCACAACCATGGCCTTGTGCTGGAGAATCACAGCGAGTCGCATCTGCACGAGCATGGACACTTCGAGGAGCCCGTCCACCACTCGGAGCACTACGAGCATCATGAGCATTATGGGCACGAGTAGGCAGATCCGATCCGATCCGATCCATTCCAGCGCCCTCATTTGCCAAATAAGTTGTAAGGAAGGGTTATTCCCCCCAACCCCCCAATCGTGTCTAAGGATTTTTTTTACTTGTATCTCTATTGTCTCTTGTTAAATAAAACGTTTACCTAGAATATTAGTGAAATCAATAAGGGACTGCATAGGAAATGCTTAAAATCAGCTTTTAAACGAAAAAGGAAGTTTCAAAATAGAATTCTACACAGCGGTGTAGTTAGAAATAGAGAGACACCTGCCGAATAACATATGTAGATACAACCTCATTTGCTACAAAAATACGCCAGGTGGCGACCCAAATGTCAAATGGACAATCCAAAAACGATACATAGGTACGTGATGGTAGGTAAGCTTTTGCCAGAATGTAAGATACATACATATGATGGTGAGCTATAGACAGAATGTAAAAAACATTTTTTTTAATTCTATAAAATTATATATAAGAGCACCTTTCCAATGCAACATCCTACCTACATCCATACCTATCCCGTCGACTCAATTTCGACGTCAAAATATACCGAAAAGTATAAAATATTCCGTAAACGGTCACCCTGATGCCCTCCACAACAAAATATCGACAGCCCCGACACAAACTGAAGTAGCTGGTAGGGCTGGGAAAATATCCAAGCCTCAAACCAGAAAGCCAAAATGTCATACAACAAAATAAATAACCTTGTTTTGCAATCTATCCAAGAAAGATAATTTATAAAAATTAAGCAATATTGTTTAGAATTGAATGGACTAGATTCTAATAAAATTAAACGAGCTGGTAATATTTAACGGAAGATCAAAGTCGAGAAAAATGATTTTGGATTTACGGTATATTTACAGTATATTTAAACAATGAAAGGATATACTTCGATATATTTCCGAGGGTCTGTCGGTATATTTTATTGATGGTTCTGCGGTCACACTGCTAGAGGCGCCGCCAAAGCTAAGGAAAAAAAAAAAAAGTTGGTGTTTTTTGGTGTAGCGTCGTGTGTTTGGTGTAATTGTTGAAAAGAAGGTGAGTCGTAAATTGTTTTGGAATTGTATTATTGCGAATGACCTGCGGCCAGCGTTGGGCTTCTTGTAGATTCCTGACTTATTCGTACAGAATTTGTTCTTTGCACTTTTCTTGTTGCTGCGCCGCTTATTTGTGTGTAAGTGTGAGTGTGCATGGAATGGTTTTTTTTTGTAGGGGTGGGGGTAGATTTTTCTGTGGCTGTTTGCCTGGGTTCTGGCTGCGCCGGGCTCCGGCCCGGCCCGGCCCAAGTGCAGCAGCAGCAGCTCGTGCCGGGGAGGAGTGCAATACGGTGTCACCGCACACAAAAAAGAGCGGGCTGCCGACGTGCATTCGGCAGCAAATGGCCCGCCCGTGTCCCTGGATGCGCTTCGTAAGGCTTGACCTGTCGCCCATCCGGACATCCGAACGGCGTTGCGAAACCGAAGCCACCCGTGTGTACACACACATTTTGGGTTGCAACACGAACGAGGTGCAGTTCGTCGGGCCAGGGCCAGGTCACTGCAATTGAATTTGAATCCTTGCCGGAGACAGAAGTGGACGCGGACTCGTGCAACGACGGCTTCACACATCATCTCTTAATTGAATTAGGCTGCAGAAACCCAAATACACATATCTTTTTCTGTGCTTCTCTTCCATTGCAGCTTCTGGCGCGCACTGCGACGTACATAAAAACGCACAAACATTTTTGTCGGTGGAGAGGCGAATAGTAGTAGCGAGAAGCAAGCGTCGTTTTTTTTTTTGGAACCCAGGCAGAGCAGAGGATCAGGAACAGTGCCAGCCATGTCGCAGTCGAACAAGATGCAGGAGCAGACCCGCCAGTACGCGAATGAGAATGATAACGAGAACGAGGAGTTGTCTTCGGACATGGAGGTAAGTCCAAGAGCCAACCAAGAGTCCCCCGTAATCCCGCGATTTGTTTGTCTCTAAATATAACGCTTCATTTCTTGATTTTGCAGGAGCCAGCCGATGCTGGGGAGCGCGAGACCCAGCAGGAGGGTCGCCAGGATGAGAATTCCAACGATGACAGCAGCCCTGGCAACGAGCCCCAGCAGGAGCAGAAGACGGACAAGCAGCAGCCCCAGGAATCGTCCGGGGACGAGCAAAGTAACCATGGCAACGGGGAGGCAGCAGGCACTGCCGATAAAAAGCAGCAGCAACAGGGTGGCAAAAATGCCGCCGCACCGCCGCAGGAACAGGAGGAGCGCGTCAGCTCGACCAATCTGATAGTCAACTACTTGCCACAGGACATGACCGACCGAGAGCTGTACGACCTCTTTTCCAACTTCGGGGGCATCAACACCTGCAAAATTATGCGCGACTTCAAGGTAAGTCCACAGCCAGTCAACAGAATGGGCAACAGGATAGGCAGGATGCACGTCACAGGTCGTTGTCGTCAAGAGAGGCCTCCCCTGCCTCCTACCACTCCTGATAACTGTTGTTATCCTTCTCGCACCGTGCAATACATACACGAAAATAACGCTGCAACTCCAACCCGTGCATCCTTTTCTTTCTGTTTTCTACCACCCTCAGACCGGTTATAGCTTCGGTTACGGCTTCGTCGACTACAGAACTGAGGCAGACACCGAGGTGGCCATCGATAAGCTGAACGGGTTTTATGTGCGCAACAAGCGATTGAAGGTGAGTATCCCCCCAAAAGCCAACCCAACCCAAACCACCCAATCCACCGCCTGCGCATACGCATACTAACTTCTCTCTCTCTCTCTTTCTATCTGTTCTCTTAGGTCTCGTATGCCCGCCCCGGCGGCCAGTCCATCAAGGACACCAACCTGTATGTCATCAATCTACCACGCAATATCGACGATGATATGCTCACCAGAACCTTCTCGCCCTTTGGCCAAATAGTCCAGCGCAACATTTTGCGTGACAAGCTCACCGGTCGTCCGCGCGGCGTTGCCTTTGTACGGTAAGTTGTCCCCAAAAGTACCATCAAAGTGGTACCAGATTGCAAGTGAGGGTGGGATGCGTGGAGTGCAGTGTTCAGTCAGCCAGTTTGCTATTAAGATTGGGTGTTGAAATATTGCAAAAGCTACAAAGAGAGCTTAGCCTTAAACCAGCGAATTTTTGGCCGCATTAATTCTCTAAAATGTTATAAACTAACGTAATGAATAGTCAGAAAACATTCAGGCAATTTTCAATGGTCAAACAGAACATCAGAATGGAATGTAAGAATGTTTCAGTACAAGATCAGCTTTGGCTTTGGCCATATTTTGTTTTAAATATTTTAAATACAAAGCGCACCACGCACATTCGTATACAGAAAGGACTCTAACAATGATGCATATTTTTTCATAGAAATTAATTCTGCTTTAAAGCGAGTTTTACTCTGACATTCTTTAGCCAACTGTCTCTAACTATATCTCTCTCTCTCTCTTTCTCGTTGCTTAATCCGTCGATAGCTTCAGCAAACGTGAGGAAGCACAGGATGCACTGAACTCGCTTAATAATACGGTGCCACTGGGTTGCACACAGCCAATATGGGTGCGCCTGGCGGAGGAGCATGGCAAGGCAAAGGCCGCTCAGTTTATGTCGCAGGTTGGCGGGCCGATGGGTGGTGGTGGTGGTGGCGGCGGTGGCGGTGGGGGAATGGTTGGCCCACTGCACATTGGACATCAGCCGCACCACCACCATCACAGCCACAACAACAACCACAGCAACCAGCACCATCCACACATGCCACAGCCGCACCAGCAACAGCTGCAGCAACACCATCATCCACCGCATCACCACCAGCACCATCAGCAACAACACCATCCCCACCAGCCGCATAACCACAACCACAGCCATGGTCACCACAACCACCACCATAACATGGCCCACCATCCGGCGGCGCACCATATGCAGCTGCATGGAGGAGTCCGCGGCGTCAGCATGGGGATGGGGGGCATGGGCGTTGGTATGGGAGTGGGTGTGCAGATGCATGCCGGTGGTGGAGGTGGAGGTGGGGGCGGCGGTGGTTTTGGAGGAGCGGGTGGTATCGGTGTCGGTGGTGGCGGCGGTGGCGGCTATCAGCATATGGCGCATAGAGGTAGATCAAATAGAACAACACGATCTCAAAAACTGCATCCATATAACAATCATGCACAGAAATTTATTTAAACACAAACAACAAATTAATTTCTTTACACCAATATTAGCTGCATCTCACAGGTGAAGTGGTCATGCTGCCATTGCCACATTGCAGCCACTCCAGCCGGCAGCCGTGCAATGGCAGCAGCATCCGCCGCATCCACATCCGAATTTGAATCTGAATCCGTATCCGAATCCTCAACCGCAAACGCAACAGCAGTCGCGTCCACATCCACAGCCACAGCCAACACAGACTCATCAGCCATCATACCAGCCACAGCAGCAACAACAACAACAACAACATCATCTGCTGGCCATACATCAGCCACCAATAACAACAACAACAACACACATGCCCACCATCTTCGCCAGTCAACAAACCCACAACCAGCAGCAGCAACAGCAGCATCAGCAGTCCCATACGATCATCAACCAAATGAGCAACTACAGCCATCAGCAACAACAACAACAGATCCACATACATATACCCACGCAGGCGACGTACTTTGCTCCTGCTTACTTTGTGCCTGCCTATCAAACAACGGGACCAGGACCAGTCGTCACATATCCAACTGCAGCCACACCAGCAGCAGGTCCAGCGGGAGCAGCAGCTGTAGTTTATCCAACTGCAAGCACACCAGTAGCAGCGGCAGCATCAGGAGTTGTTTATCCAACTTTAGCCACCCCAGCGGCCGGTCCAGCAGCAGCATCAGGAGTTGCGTATCCAGCTACAAGTGTATATGTTGTTGCCTCTCCACCAGAAACCACATATTTACAGGCTACAGGAGTAGCTCCTGCAGCAGCCGCCACACCAGCACCAGTACCAACACCAGCACCACAGGCACCCGCAGGAGCAAGACGATCACCAACATACACCGCAACATCAAGAGAATCGGGAGGCACAACATATTATTATTATCATCAGGTCCATAATGATGGGTCTGCAACAACACGAACAGTGCCTGTGGCAGCAGCAACACCCACAACGTACATGTATGCAGCAACATCAGCAGAAGGAGCAACAGCAGGAGGACCAACAGCAACAGCAGGAGTAGCCGGAACAGCCACACCAGAAGGAGTTGTAACCGGAGCTGATACCGCATATGTATATTATCAGCGTTCCGATTCGAATCACGTGAATACCCTCAACTACTTGGATCCTCAAACTGGTCGATTGCAGGCCATGGGCCTCGTGTATGTCACATACAGGGGTGACCGAGATCGAACAGAAGGAGCAACGGAAACCACTACAACGCCAACGCCAGGAACAGCTCAAACACAACAGGATAGAATGGCAACGAGTCGGGGGTCAGGAACAACAACAACAACCACTGACACAACTGGTGCTGACGGAGGTAGAGGTGGAGGCAACAACTACCAGGATGCTGCTGCTGCTGCTGGTGGTGTTGATGAGATGCTGCGTGGCACTGGCGGAGGTGGAGGCAGAGGTAGAGGCAGAGGCAGTGGCGGATCAGCCGGAGGAGGAGGCAACAGGCACGCAGGCGGTGGCAGCTTCAACCACTACAACCGAAATCGAAACCGCAATTGAATCTAAATCATACACCCCAGCGCCCCACTCCAGTAATAATCCGGAAATAGCCACCATACCCCCTCAATACTCTACTCTCGCTTTGACTCTGTGCGTCTCTCTCTAGCTAGATGTATGAATTCGAACACACCATACACACACACCCACACACACACAATTGTATATATTCAAGACACACTGATTGATCGGTTGAAGATCGGATGGCGAAGGAGAAGGAGAGGCGCAAAAAGGCATTGGCATTGGCAGCAAAACAAAAACAAAAAGAGATGCAGACAAAACAAACACACAAAAACAAAGAACAGAAAGAAAACAGAGAGAGAAAATTTAAAAAAATTCCAAGATAAACAAATGCACACACACAAAGACACACACATAAACGAGGCAAAAGAGTTTTACGTTTTAAACGATCTGAAATCAACTTAAGATCGATATTGAAATCAAATTCCATTCAATTTTTGTATCATAAGCATACAAAACACACTAACACATAAACACTTTCAGACGACACACTCAATATCAAATGCATACATAAACATATGTATACCATACATAACAATCTCTAAGATTATACTCTCAAGAATATTTAATTCAATTGTTAAAAAAAAATGACTAAAACAACAAGGAAAGGAAGGAAAAAACTGCTTTATTTTTTACACACACACACAACACACCCACACGCATAAATATGTATAATATACAATGGACACTGAAATCTGAAATTCACATTTTAATTTACCATTTTGTCAACAACAACAACAACAAAAAGAAACCCATGCGTGAGTGCTGCTGGAAAAACGCCTTTGATAGAGTAGAAATATCAATATTATAACTCTATAAATATTTTTTTTGACTAAATATAAACCTATAATAAAAACAAAGCCCTAGTCTTGTAGCATTATCTTAGATAAGGTACGTGTTTTTTTTTTGTTTTCAGACTACATTTAAAAAATATGAAAAGCAAGGAAGAAACAACTGAAAGAAACAAACCGAAAAAATACATTTAATTTACGTTAAATATAAAATAAACAAATACACATAATATATTATTAAATGGTTATTATATTAACCGATATAAATACGTTATAAAACCACCAACCAACCACACATGCAAATAATTGTTAGCTGTAGACTTGGACAAGAACGAGAGATTAGACGCGCTGCATATTAGCGAGATCGAGAGCGAGCATAGTGCACAGCACGCCATACTGTCTGTAGAGAGAGAGAAAGTCGAGGCTACAGTCATTGCGAGGGGACACGAAGCCGTACCCGACCTGGACCTACCACAAGCAGAACGAGTCGAGCTTATTTTGTAAGAGAAAACTAAGAAAACAAACAAATAAACAAGTGTTAAGATAATAACAAAGCGTCTGGCTGCTCTTGTCGAATAGGTAAATTTGTATGACATTTATTGTAGTCCGTAAGCAATCGAGAACGCAGAAGTTCAAAAGAAAAACAAAAAGCCCTTTAAGTGTAGTTTAATGACAACGATATATCCGAGAGCACAGTAAACCAAATGAGAGATTTATTTATAAGAGAAACCTTTTGTAAATTTAAAACAGTTCAATATACGAAATACTACATGCAATGTAACTGAACAAATTGATTGATTTGGTAACATAACAGCAGAAATGCCCAAAGATGATGCCAAGGGAGATCGTTAACAGTCTTATAATAACGACGATGATGATGACGGGGGAATAGGCAACGAGGCTCAAATTTTGTTTTTTTATTCCAGGAACTGCCCCCGGAAGATACGATGGATAACCTTGGAGACTATATTGCCTCCGGTAACAACGGATGCTGACCGTTCGTACGGATATCTTATCAGCCTGGAAAACCAATCATGAAATGGAGTCCCGCCAGTTGGCCAGCGACGAGCATCATTTTCCTGGATGGAGGAGAGTGCCGGAATTTTACGTTGTGCCACCACCCAAACATACAAATTTTCGAAATTACAGTAGATGCAGTTGATCCAATTGAAAATATTGCAATTGGACCCATTGATATTGCAGGATTTTCAATAGTTGATCCACATTCTCAGTTGATAAAATTTTTCCAATTGGATCATCTGCTATGGTACCCATTATTAATATTGAAACAGATCCGTTGCAAAATATGAATAGAGATTTTGAATTGAATGCAATTTATGTTCTTCTCAACAAAAACAAATAAAAAATGTGCTAGAACGATCCGAGAGCAAGAGCGTTGCAAACAAATAATTGTTTTAGAGACAGAAATTCGGTCGGAAAGAAAAGATCGCTGATATCGTATCCTTCGAAACGGTCACAATCTCAATGAATTACTTTACAAATTTGCAGATTATAGAGAACGAGAATGTATACAGATCGGTATATGGTACATACAAAACATATTAAAATGTTAAAAGCATGTCAGTCTAAGACAAAGTCATTGGTAATTATTAAAAGCAGTTGATTAAATGCAAATATATTATGAATTATAGCAAATACATTTTTTTGGTTTACCTTTTAAGTTTTAACCTTATTATGCAATCAATTGAGGAAAGTTGTATCATAAAATCAGCAAATCATGTGGGGAATTGAAAGATGATTTGAGTAAAATTACATTTTTAATGCTGAGAATCCTAATCAGATGGTAATATTAAATTGAACATCAAAATCGAGGAAAAGTGCTTGGTCATTTTATACATTTTAAATCCCTTTTTAAAAAGTGATGCTGTTATTTTTTTCACAGCTGTATGTAAGTGTGCACGTATATTTGGTTTGGGATAATTCTGTGCTCATATTGAGCCGTAAAAATGGGGAGAGTATCTTGCTCTCTCTGCTGACCTAATCCTATCTCCGCTGACCTAATCCTCCCTTTGGCATGTGACCGCAAGGTATGGCAAGTAAGTAAAAAAGGACGAACTTTTGTTAGGCTCCCACCTTTTCGCACCTGTGGAGAGGATCCCTAATAGTGCCTGAGAGAGCTTCTGGCTTCTGGCTCATTGCAACCACCACCTCAGAAAGTCACTAGGGTTAATCATTTGCACTCCAATCCCGATTATGTATCACATGCCAGGAGAGCTTCCCCCAGAATACTGAATGAGATTGCGTACAGCCTCCCAGAGCAGGTCTTTGCTGCTAACAAGCACAGCTTAGACCTGGCCGGCAAGGGGAGGCTTCAAGACCTACTACACCGATGGAACAGTAGCAAACAGACACTCTAGCGCAGCTTTCGTACACGACAGCTCAGGTTTCATATATAGCTTTTACACGCACAAAACCTTGTCATCTCTGTCCGCCTGACAAGCCCAATACCTAAAGAAGGTGGAAATCCATTTCATACCCGGCCATGCCAACATCCCTCAGAACACGGCAGAAGACTCAGCAGCCAAAGAAGCACACATGCTGGAAAAACATGCAGTCGTTAAATGGAATCTTAAAGATGCCATATGTGAATACTGAAAGAAGAATGGGAGAGAGAGTATGCCGAGTTTGCCAGCGTTAAAACCATGGTTCCTAAATAGAAATAGCAGCATTGGCGCTAAAAGCACAGTCGCAAGTAACATTTCTGGTACGTGCGATACCATCGATAACGCATCGCATATAACATTTAATATAACAACACAACAAGACTAAGCTACCCATCGCTAAGGAAATATAATAATATCTATAAAATTCTTCGCAAAAGAACAAATTAGCTCATAGTTCATCGACAAAATTGGAGTAAAACTGTAACAAGTTACATTTCTAGACGTGGCGATTTCCACCTTGAAAAGGCGGGCGGCCAAATAATCCCCCTCCACGCAAGGGTAATTAAAAAATAAAAATCAATTAAATAAGCGAGGAAAAAGGAAAAACCCCTCAAAACAACGGCAAACAAAATAAACAATAGTTAAACTGTCGCGTAAATAAACAATTGGCGACCGTCAGCAATCGCTTCAGCGTCTACCCCAAGGCTCTCAATTTCGCCCCAGTTAAGTGGATGGAACCCGAGAGTCAGCAGAAAATATAGAATAAACAATTGCCGCGAGCCAGCGACAGCGACACAGAGGGGATAGCGGACTACGCAATAAACGAGATAACGACCTTCCACCGCTCGTCGCTGCCCCCGTTATACCCGCTATCTCGAGAAGTGCTTGCCACTTGCTGCTGCCGCTGCAGCTTCAGTGTTTTGTGTGTCTGTGCGGTGTCTGGCCTAGTGGCAAGGTAACTCGATTCGAGTGGCTGCCCCGCCGCAGTGACGGGACAGCGCGATGCCCCAGACGAGGGCTGCGGCCGCTGAGGCAGCGGCGGCGGGCACCGTCAATGGCCAGCCGCTGGTGAAGATCGGTCATTACCTGCTGGGCGCCACGCTTGGCACGGGCACCTTCGGTAAGGTGAAGATCGGCGAGCATCAGATTACACGCGTCAAGGTGGCTGTCAAGATCCTAAACAGACAGAAGATCAAGAGCCTGGATGTGGTGGGTAAGATTCGGCGAGAGATTCAGAACCTGAAGCTCTTCCGGCATCCGCACATCATCAAGCTTTACCAGGTAAGGAGTCCTCAATCAGTCCTGAATAAATGATTCATAGTTTCCCCTTAAGGTGATCTCTACTCCTTCGGACATCTTCATGATCATGGAGTACGTGAGCGGCGGCGAGCTGTTCGATTACATCGTGAAGCACGGCAAGCTGCAGGAGCATCAGGCTCGCCGCTTCTTTCAGCAGATCATCTCGGGCGTGGACTACTGCCACCGGCACATGATCGTGCACCGTGACCTGAAGCCGGAGAACCTGCTGCTCGACCACAACATGCACGTGAAGATCGCCGATTTTGGGCTGTCCAACATGATGCTGGACGGAGAGTTTCTGCGCACCTCGTGCGGCTCGCCCAACTATGCGGCGCCCGAGGTCATCTCGGGCAAGCTGTATGCCGGTCCGGAGGTGGACATCTGGTCGTGCGGCGTCATTCTGTACGCCCTGCTCTGCGGTACGCTGCCCTTCGATGATGAGCACGTGCCGACGCTCTTCCGAAAGATCAAATCGGGCATCTTCCCCATACCGGAGTACCTCAACAAGCAGGTGGTCAATCTGGTGTGCCAAATGCTGCAGGTGGATCCCCTCAAGCGGGCCAACATCGAGGAGATCAAGAAGCACGAGTGGTTCCAGAAGGAGCTGCCCGCCTACCTCTTCCCCTCGTCGATTGAGCAGGACTCCAATGTCATCGACACCTATGCCGTGGCCGAGGTCTGCACCAAATTCGGGGTCAAGGAGCTCGAAGTGCACAACTCGCTGCTCAGCGGCGATCCACACGACCAGCTGGCCATCGCCTACCACCTGATCATCGACAACAAGCGTTTCGCAGACGACGCCGCCAATCAGATCAACGAAATCAACAACTTCTTTGTGGCCGGCTCACCGCCGCCGCCGCCAATCATCACTCATGCACCGCACGAGGCCCCAGGCCAAGCCTCCGGCCAGACGCCCCTGGCCACGGTCACTGTGGGCGGCGGCACGGCAGCCAGTTCGGGCAGCGCCACACCTGTGCCACCCGGAGCGGCACCGCCAAGCAGCAGTGTGCTGGCCGCCATACGACCACATCCGGAGCGGATTGCCCCGATGCGCGACCGTCAGCTGGCCATGTCCGTGCAGAACTCGGGCGGTGCGGCGTTCCCCGAGAAGACGGCGCGCGGCGGCACGCCCATCAAGCGGGCCAAGTGGCATCTGGGCATACGGTCGCAGAGCAAGCCGAATGACATCATGCTGGAGGTGTACCGGGCCATGAAGGCGCTCAACTACGAGTGGAAGATCATCAATCCGTACCATGTGCGTGTGCGGCGGCAGAACGTGAAGACGGGAAAGTTTTCGAAGATGTCGCTGCAGTTGTACCAAGTGGACGCGAAGAGCTATCTGCTCGACTTCAAGTCGCTCACCAACGACGAGGTGGAGCAGGGCGACGATGTCATCATGGAGAGCCTCACACCGCCCCCGCTTAGCGTGACCGGTCTGATGCCGCTCCAGCCGACCGGCCACCACACCATGGAGTTCTTCGAGATGTGCGCAGCGCTCATCATTCAACTGGCGCGCTGAGCACCAAACAATTACAGTCTAACCCCCAGATGACAGCAGTAAATGGCATCTTCGCCGCGGAGGAAGGGTCACCCACTCTCTCCCGGTGGCATGACCATAACTAAGATTTAAACTAAAAAAAAAAACAAACAAGAACAGAAGAATGTTTCGTAATTGGATGGATGGATGCTGCCATTTAGGTCATCCGATAATCCGCTACCCGCTACCGCGTACCGCGTTCCGCTTGACCGCTTTGCTTTAACCGATTCTAGCCTAGTTTGTAGTGATCTGTTCTGTTTCTATTTTATACATGTTGAGTTATTATTTTACAAACACCCCTAACGCCTCCCTCTATTGTATATTGTATATCGTATTCGTATCGTATGTTTCCGTATACTCTTACTTTTTATTCGTATTTATACCCAAGAAAATGAATCCGCGTAGCATTGCACGGGAATGCGCCAGATTTCAGTTATTAGTTTGTAGACCACTACTCCGGAGAAGGATGTTTAATCAGTTTTTGGGGCAGGCCAGTTCAGTTCCGTGACTATGTATTCCTATCAAAAAAAAAACGCCTTAATAAAGCCAACCAAATAAACCAAAGTTCATGCCATCTCTGTCTAACCAGGAAGAGTTCTCACACTTCCCATTCCACTTGCGTCATCTATTGTGTTTTTCGCAGTGAGTGATGGGATGCGCGTTTAACAACACTGACACAACCAGCTGATCAGCTGCAGTTTTTGGCGGCTGGCTCAATTCCCACGGGAAACAGCAGCAACAAGTAGAAACAAAGCAGGTTTACGGTTACTATGATATTAATATTTTTTTCTTTTTTTATTGCATATTAAAAGTATTTCTGCTGCTGCATAAGGGCTAGGCTATCTATCGCGTTTACAGTCCACTCTGGTTCGTTTTTTTTTTTTATTTTATATAAAATCTCGTTTTGCGGCAAAGCTTTGTTTATTGTATCCGAGGCTCCCCCCAGCATCCGACCACCTTCATCCTGTTACTGCTCCTCTATTGCTTCTGCTGTTGCTTCCGCTTCAGCTTGTCAATCAGCGTCTCAATGCTGTTGGCATCCACCAGGCCAATGAATTTATCCACCACAACGCCGTTGCGAAAGGCAAGGACAGCGGGCACGGCCTTCACCTCGAACGTCTCGACGAGATCCAGGTTCGTCTCCACATCAATGATGGCCACATCTATCTCATCTGAGTTCTCCAGCAGCTCCAGCATCTTGGGTGTGAGTATTTTGCAGGGGTCGCACCACTCGGCATGGAAATTCACAATCACAGGATTGTCGCTGTTGATGACCTGGACACACACAAAGCACAGACAGGAGAAGGCATTAGTTATGGACATATGCTAGATCTTGGGACACTTCAAAGCATAGAAACGGGCTCAAACCAGTAACGACCCGCCGTTTTTGGCTCATTTGCATACACGAGCCAATCACAACACACAAACACTAGCACACACACAGTTGCAGACACATACTGACAGTCGTCATAGCCAAATGCGCCATGGGGTGGGCAAGTTGGGCCGCTGTTTACGGCCGAAACTGCTCACGTACACCAGATAGTAGTGCAGGGGACGCAGGCCGCATGCCAGAAACATTGCATAATTTCTCACTCACTCATTCACTCACTCGCTCACCTTCTGATCGAATTCGTAGTGATCCTTGATGACCAGCTTCTTGTGCAGGTGCTGCGACTGGGAGAGGTACTTCTGTGTGGCCCTTGCCGACTGTGGGGCCACCCGGTGGCAACTGCTCTGAGCGCTGGCGCTGACGAGGCAGCAGGCGGCCAGACGTGGCGCAATTCCCTCGGCAGCAATCTTAAGCATTTTGTTGCCCTGTGTGGAGTTTCTGCAGGAAACCGGAGTGTGGTGTGTGCGCGGGTGCGTGGGAGTAGGCGGCGATACCGATTTCGATAGCAATGTTCTCCGGTTCTTGCCCAGGTGAGAAGATTACAATATTGTTGTTCAAATAGTTTTCAGCCACTCACCGCGTTTTGGTATGGGTTTTGGTTTAATGTTTGTTTATAAACTGCACGACGGCATATCGAACTATCGAAGCAAACGAACTATCGCCGAGCAGAGTTGCTGCACGGCACTGTCGTGTTACTCAACACTAGTGTGCGCTCGTGCATTTGGATTTGTGGCAGTTCGTGTTGTTATTCTTTTGCTGCCGCTGTTGCCTTTCCACGAGCCACGAGAGCCACGAGAGCCACTAGAACTCTCCTGTTTATCGCCAAGGTGTTTACCTCTGACTATTTTTTGTGTAATTTTTTTGTTTGTGCGCTATTTCCCGAGAAAAGTTAAAGTGACAACAGATACCGCGTGCCAGGAAGCGGGCTGAAGGAGGCACTTCCTTTGCCTGTATTCTCCGGATATGTAACTGTTTGGTGAGTTTCAGGGTCGCCTGTGGGTCGCCTCCACAGTTTATGCGTGTGTCTGCGCGTGTGTGTGTGTGTGTATGGTAAGTCCAGCTCAGAATCTGAGAAAATGCCGGTGGGGGGAATGACCTCTGATGAAAAGTACCTTCTCCGGTAATGGGATACTTTTGAAGTGGGAGCAGGGAGCCTTCGTCCTAAGCGGGGGTTTCAAGCACAGCGAAAATAATTGGATTCCCAACTGGAGAGAGGCTCGGATTTTGGTAACTGTGTGTGTGTGTGTGTGTTTCAATGAATTGCCCATTTTTCCACCCTATTTTGAAAACGCGGCCACAGCTCGACCCCTGCCAGAACCAGAATCAGAAACAAAACTCCAGGTCTCGGCTCTGTTTCTGTCTGCGACTCCGGCTCGCAGTTTTCCTTCTCTTATTATGTTTTCTTTTTTGGTGCGCAGCTTCCCTTGAGCCGGATTTCATTCTTGTCCTCATTGTTCAGCCTGCTGCAGTTTCAACCCCCTTTCTGTGCCCAGCCGGTAAGGGCTGGGGCAGGGGCATGGCCAGGGGCACGGGGCACAGCATCTTGAAACGTGTTTTGTCGGGATGGCTTTGGCACAGCTGTTCGGACTCTGGGCCTGCTCTGCGTCGCATTATCCTTGCTCCTGCTCCTGCTCTTGCCCCTGCCACGTTTCTTCTGTTTCACTCTTGTATTTTGGTGGGATTTATGACATCAACACACGCTTTTGGCCCATCGCCAGGACGCACACACAAAAACCCACACAAACACACACACACACAGACAAGGGCAGTCAACGGTCGCAAGCTTTGTCCTATTAGTCCAAAGCTCCACATCCGTCTCGCTCTGTCGCCTGATTCGTGCTTACAGTTAGGTTAGGTAGATAGTCCCGAAAGCCCGACTGCTCGTTAGTCCCTCCACCCGAACTACAGCGAAACGAGGCTTTGCTGTGGTTCGGCTTGGGGTCGAAGTCGAAGTGTGTGTCTGTGTGTGTGTGTGTTGGAGCGCGACTTTTTCCTTGGTGGTGTGCGTGTGGTTTATGTGCGTGTACCTTTCTCCTTTTCCGTTGATTTGTGTGTTTCCGAGTGTCCTTTTCTGCTTTTTCCCTTCGCCCCAAAGGTGTGTTCTATGACAAGGTGTGCGGGCTTTGGTTTAACCATAACTTTTTCTCAGATATCTGGAGAGTAGTCTCTGCAATGTCTAAGACAAGGTGTGGATTTTTCTGTTTATTCTACCTTCCATACATATGCACCTATTATGAGACTACGCTCTCAGGGAAGTTCCTCATCGCCTGCCATTTCATCTTCCTTTTCTTCCCCTCGCCGCTCTGTTTCCTTGCCTTGACCTTTGAACCTCCAGTTCTGCTGCTACTTCTCATTCTTCTCTGACCTCTTTCCTGGGCGCTTGTGCTCGATTTTTTCTTGTAAATTAATTGTTATCGATTGATTGCAAGTTATTTCGCTTCCATATGCGTCCTGCACAAGCCACGCATTGTTTTTTTAGGACATTCCAATTAAGTGCCTTAACTGCATTTTGTGTTTTTTTTCAGTTCCCCTGCCACCCACACACGCACCCAGCCATTGTTCCGCGCCATTCCTTTGCTATCCCTACCATTCCATGCCATTCCCTTTCGGCGCTCTGTACTGGACAGGGCGGCCATGGAGAGGGGCAACGTCAAGATTTCTGATCATTTCCAGGAATTTTTTGTGTTCCACGAGTCGAGAAACTGAACGTTTGGAAAGCGCCGACTGGCGGTTACGCGGTGGCGGAGGGGGCGCACTGGGGTGGGGGGAAAACTTTTATGATGCTTTTGGCCTAAAAATATCCGCCACGAAAACAAAATTCGTTATTTCGTCTCTGAACGCCTCTGATCCCAAGTTCGATTCGGCCTCGGTGTCGGATCGCTGGCGTTGCTATTTCTTCTGCTGCTGCTGCTGCCCGTCCCTCCACGTAGCCAGTGAGTGGTGCGGAGGTTGGCAGGGGTGGGGATCGGGATTTCCGTGTGTCTAATTGTGTGCCTGTCTTGGACGTGCAGGTTCGCTCAGGATTACTCAGCATCTCATGATCTGCTCAGAAACCCACCCCATGCCGTGCACGCTACGCACTTTAGAATCCATAAATCCAAGCTAGAAGTCTCTCTCTCTCTCTCTCTCTCTCTATCTCTATCTCACTCCGACTATTTATGGATGGATCTAAAAATAGTGGTGAGGCTCTACTCGGGGCTCGAGCTACGACCGAAGGTGCCTCAAGAAGAATGGAAGTTCAATTACCTTTAAATGGATTACACAAACAAATGACGAGAAGGGTAGGGAGTTGGGAGTAGGAGCAGGAGACATGGCAAGCCTATATCAAACACACACACACACACACACAGCCTAGATAAAGCAGCACAAACACAAAGAAGATACAGCTACAGAACAGTGCCCGATCGTTGCTCGCTCTGATCCCGACTCCCTCCCCTCCCCCCTTAAACTCCTGGGGCTTCGCTTCCGCAACTCACTCTCTCTCTCTCTCTCTGTCTCCCCTCCTTTCTCTCTTACTCTGTCTATCTGCCCTGTGTCTGTGCCCGTGTTCTAGCCCAAAGGGACGGTTGGCAGGGGGGGGGGGGGGGAGGCTGGCGGCAATGCTGCCAAAAATAAATTTGAACTCAAATCCGTAGCACAGGCGGAGCAGAGACAGGGCCAGGGAAAAACCGATTCGAAATCGAGTGCCAAGAAAAACCAACGCAACGAATTTCCCCACCGAAGCCGAACAAGAGCCCCGGTGTCCAAAGATCTTAGGAAATCATGATGAAACCCAGCAACCAGATTGCAGTGGAGACCAAGCAGTGCAGAAGGTGCTGCAGAGGCTCAAGTGGAGCACGAAATATCAGGGAAATATGATTATCCATTAGGGGGGAGCAAACTGCATTCCAAATTCCCGCTCTGTGTGTGTTTACACATAGCTCCAGGAAGCACGGAGGGATAGAGGCAGAGGCAAAGGCAGAAGCATAGACAGAGGCAGGGCCAGGGGCCGCCCCCATGACGCAACGCATGCCGTCTACGTGCCACCACGGTGGAGGCAAATCACAAACGTGCCCCGACCTCATTAGTTTCGAGTTTCCGAAAAAAAAAAAAAAAACAACACACGCACACACAAATTCAAATTGAGCCGCAAAGCGTGGTAAGAGGGGTAGGGAAAAAGCCAAAATGGAAAATGGGGAAAACGCCTTGGCCCATCAATTTTCCATCTCATCCGCGGCCAGGCATCGGCATCGCCAACGGCAACGGCAACGCCATCCAGCTGCCAGAGAGCGAGAGAGAGCTTAAACTGTGACTATTTGTAAACGAGGGGCACAGATGCCCATCCATGCACCACCCAACCGCGCCCCATCCCCCCTTAAAAAGCCCCAACCCACACTCCTAGCCAAAACCGATCTCTCCGTGTCTCCGACTCTCCGTTCTCTCTCTCTGTGTGTCTCTATCTCTGTTGTCGCTCTTCCACTCTCTGGGGCAGCTATTTTTAAAGTCGAAAAGACTTTTCAGACGCTGCCAAGTGGCCAAGAGATGCCAAGTACAGTTGCCTACTCACATGCCTGAGCGAGCGATCAGCGGCCTCAGGAGGGGTGCGAGGGGTAGGAGATCTGCAACATCTCAAACTAATGTACATATTGTTGGCCCGGAAGTCATGGAAAGGAGGTCTAGGAGGAAAGTCCTTCTGTAAGCTCAACTGATTTATGACCATTCTGCAATGCTCCATCATGTAATCTCTGTTGGGAGTTGGATTTATTTTGTAGTTTTCTAGTGGTAAGGAACTGCAGTGCCGAAGGAAACCTTAGATATGAACCTTAGATGCTTCAGCACGTGATCCAAATTTTGTGGCTTTATAGAAATTCAGTCCTGCGAGTGAAGTAATGAGTTGGATACTTTTTAAAAGCTAAGCACAGCGGAAAAGTCTTTATGCAGTTGGAACATATGTAGAGATATCTTTAGGGATATTAGGGAAATGAGAGCTCCAGTGACATGAAAGATCATGCACATAGCACACTCGAGTAAGGGGTTTAAAAACATAAAGTGAAACAGTGAAATGCATTTCCTGACACTTTGTGTATCTTCAGTAGTTCGACTTTGAAGGAAACAACTCTCAATAGTTAAGGGTAGAAGTTGCTGAAAGTTTATTCATTACCAACTATTTTGAGGACTCCGCCTGAAACGGATTGCATATAAATAAGATTTGTATAACTCTCTAGAGTTCAGGGTATGTGAAGCCTTCCTTTATAGAGGATTTTTCTATATTCTCCATCTGTTTACCTATCTATCCGTCCATCTATGTATATCTGTTTCGATTGGCGTTTTTTCGGTGATTTGTTTGTGTATTGTGCGACGCAATGTAAAACAATTTTGTTCGAAGCTCCGCTCTTTCCCTCTCTTTTTGGCTTTTGGGCGGACACTGCCATCGGCACAGATACACAGATACACAGATGCATGGATACCAGCATGGGGATACAGATGCACAGACACACAGAGGCAGAGCAGAACTTTTGGTTGGAAATTTGCCAACCCCTCATGGCGCTTTTCGACGATCAGCTCGACCCCAATAGAAGGTGAGAAGGAGAGAAGTGGGCAGGGGCGGCCGGTATGTGGAGGGAGGGGATGGGAGAGCGTGGAGCGGGGGGGCGATGGTGATGGTGCACCTTCAGCCGACGCTCCGCTCGGAGACGGGCCAACAGGCTGCGACGGCTGCTCTCGGGCCCCGTGTTCGGGGCTCGGGGCCGGGTCCGGTTCGGTCCGATTCAGCAACTCAAGTTGGCCGCGTGTCTGAATTCCGTTTTCAGTATCAAATTAGACTGCGACTGCTGCTCTGCGCTACTCTGCTCTGCTCTGCTCTGCTCTGCTCTACTCTGCCTTGCAAAGAACGCGGCGTGCGCGAAAGCGAAAGAACAGAATCGGAATCCGAATCAAATCAAAAATCAGAATCGGTGGTGCGACGCCGCCCAAATCCCGACAAACGGTTTTCGAATCGGGTAAAGATCGGAGCGGTGTGCTCCCGCTCTCGTGTTCGCGCTTTGCCATTGCTTTTCCTCTGTTCTTTTCTGTTCTGTGTATTTTCCACTTGTGTCTCGTTCTGTGCGTCGTCTATTTTGAGAGGGGGATTCAGAGTGCCGCTGCTCTGGCTGCTGCAGTGGCAGGGGCCCAAGAAGGTAGGGAAGGTACATGGATAGTGGATAGTGGATAGGGACGCGGTAATGGGGGTATAGGGGGTATGGGATCATTTGTTTTTCTGGCAGAAGGCAGAAGGCAGAAGGCAGAAGGCGTGGGCGTGTTTTGAGGAGGGCCAGCTCCGCGCTTGCTGTATCTCGTGTCTCTGCTTTCAGTGCTGTTTGTTTGTACTTGCCAAGAGCGAGAGAAGATCTCCATTCCTCGAATTCTTGATTCGTCATATACATACAAGCAGGCATATAGCCCACAGCTATATATAAACAGGCCCCGAGTCCATGACTGCGTCTTTATATGGTTTGCTTGCAAGTGTTCAACGAGAATTGTCTTTAAGCTGCCAATAGTCCGTGGCACAAGTCCCCTAACATCCCCCCGAATGATGGTCTCAAGACGTTGGGCAGGGAGCTGTGCTCCGCTTAAAATAAATCTAGGATCAATGAGGAGCTCAAGTGCATATTAAATCGAATTCCGGGGGGAATTTATTGGAGTTTTTTTCATTTCATGACTCTAAGAGTGGATTCTCCACAGCCTAGTATATGTAGTACCCACAATTATTATGTGACTGCAATAGCTTTTGTTTTCTCGGCAACGCTGTAGCTTATCGAATACGCCGGAATCAAAATCGGAATCGGATTGGGCCAATGTGAGTCACGCGCTCCAAGTTCTCGTGGAGCCACAAGCCCACCTTACGGCCGATAAGATAATGCTCTCCCAGCACAGGCAGGCGAGTCAGTCGAGTCAGGCCAGTCAGTGGCCAGATTAGATATTGGTAGTTTCAACCATGGGTTTCCGCTCCCCTGTCACCCCTACCTGCCCCCCCTTAAATGGAGGTTTTGATCTGCCTAGATAAGAGAGTGAGAGTGAGAGTGAGAGTGAGAGAGGGGGGAGCGGTTCTCTGCCCCATTCCCATTGCCATCCTCGTGCCACTGCCACTGTTGCCACTTACTCTTCTTCCTCTTCTTGTGTATCTATTGGGACCCCCCCCCCCCCCCTGTCGCTCTCTCTCTCTTTGTGTCTGTCTATCTCGCTCGCTTGATGTTTACGTTTTGGCGTGATTTCGTATTAACAACATTTTCTTCTATGTATTTTTAATTTTAGTCCAAGGTTTGAAACAACAAAAGCGAAACGAAAGTGAAGCAAAGAAGAACAACACGAAGACGGGGGGAACACAGAAGAAGAGTCGAGCGCCCAGAAGACAAGCAAAAGAGGGTGAAGAAAGGACAATGACAACCAGTAAAGGAGCAAAAAAGGAAGCCCAAAGGAGCAACAAGAACTAAAGGAGAAAATCGCAGAAAAGAAACTCAACACAGACGCCAAAGCACAAGCAGGGAAACAACAAGGAAAAATTTGGAAAAGAACGAAGCTAAAAGAGAGAAAAAGAAGCAACAACGCAAAGCCTGCTGCAGCTAAAAGAAACGCATACAAAGAACCCTCCCACTTAGCCCCCCAGCCAAAAACAAAACGAAAATCTTCAGTCCAGAAAGCGCGTGAGAGAGAGAGTGAAAGAGAGCAACGCAACTCAGAGAGAAAGCAAGAGAGAGTGGGTCGGTTGCTGGTGCTGGCGCGGGGCGGTCAGCGTCGTTGTGGGACAGACACCGCGACGTGAAAATCGCTCATACGCCGCGTGAACCGATAGCCAGCCACAGGCGCAGCCAAAACCATAATCCGAAATTATTCAGTCAACCAGTTGGGCCGAAACTGGCATAGATCCAGCTTTAGTTAAGCAAGGCTAAGAGAACACAGAGAGAGAGAGAGAGTGGAAGGAGAGAGAGAGGAAGAGCCGAGGATCACACTGGAAAAAGTGTGAGACAGCGGCAGCGAGGGAGAAACAAATTCGAACTGCAGCCGGCTACAGATCCAGGTGAGTGGCAAGTGGAAAGCAGAAGCGAGTCAAAGTGAAAACTCTGTTTCCAGAACAACAAATAGTTTCAGTGTAAGGAAAGATAAAGAAAAGCTTAAAGAAAAGAAAAAAAAATGTGCTCTCCAATGCATTTATTCCAGTTTCAGTCTAAGTAAGGAAAAGAGCGGAAGCTCTGTCGCCTGGAAATTCCCAGTCTAAGGAGATCAAAGCTTTTTGGCGAGGCTTTCCAAGTATAAGGCTCTCCCAGTGTATTATTCCAGTCTTCCAGTTTAAGTTTGATGAATTGCGAGTTCCAGTCAATAGCAGAAATTGTCATACGAGCTGCAGAAAAAAGGTTGAAATGGACAGCTTGGGAGTTCAGAATGTGCACAGAATGTGTTACAAAGATAAATACATAGATAGAATGAAGCTTTATAAGCTTAGAAGGGGAAGGCAAACAAAAAATAACGAATCCAAATGAGGGCTTGGAGTGCAGAATGGAAGGTTGAGGAGGGGGGATTACACAATTCTGTTCCAGCATTTCCAAGCGCTTTTGCTACGCTCACAGATAGACAGCCAGACACACACACACACACACACACACACACACACACACACACACACACATACAAAGACAATTGAGCGAGTGAGCGTTTTGCCCTGCCTGAGGCGACCGAGCGGCAGTCGCGGCAGCGGCGGCAGTAAAAATTCTCAACTCAAACGCAGCGGATCGGCCGCCTCGAAAGTTTTTGGTTTTGTTTTTGTTTTTTTTTGCTGGGAAAATGCCCCCCGTCCGCGGCCACAGGCGCTCCTCGAGGCAGGCACCGCATCTGATTACCCCCCATCCAGGGAAGAAGACCATCAAAAGAGGCAGAGGTAGAGGCAGAGCTAGCGGCAGAGGGAGAGGCAGCAGCAGCAGCGTTCGCGGTCGCGGCAGCCACAAGATCAGGACGGTTGCTGCTGGTAGGCCGAGGAAGGTGCTGCCACCATTACCATTGCCGTTGCCGCCGCTCATTGGACGCAGGTGCGTTTTGGTTTTGGTTTTTGGCTTTGTTTTGGGGCCGAACTTTATCGCGGACTTGGTGGATATCTAAGGGGGAGAGAGAGAGAGAGAGAGAGAGATACCGAGCCGCCTTATCAGAGAGCAAACAAAGCCAATTAGAACTTGAAACTCTCTGTCGCTGACGGGTAGGGGAGGTAGCATGGAGAAGGCGTTTTGGATGGAAGCTTCACTCCCAATACGATTCCCATTCCCAGGGCTCTCCCCTTTATAGCCACCTTGTCATCAACCAGACCACACGCTTGGGACTTGCTTTTTATCAGCGGCTTATCAGTAAATACTTCCACCTGTTGTGTACAGTTACACTCTCGACCTCTCTCTCTCTCTCTATGTCTGTGTGTGTGTGTGTGTGTGTGTGTAGATAAGTTGAGGTGAGGTATCGCTTTGCTCTGCATTAAGCAACGCTTTTTATGCCATACATAATGAGAGAGAGGGAGTGATAGAGAGAGAGAGAGAGAGAGAGAGTGTAAAGGTAATCGGCAGAGTCCCCAAAAAGTAAACTTTGCTTTTGTTTGCCATTGCTCAGCGGAAAGCCGCTGTCGCGACGTGCTGCGTATGCGGCTACGTTGGCTAGCCAGTGCGGCTCATTGCCAGGCGGATTTCATAGATAACCGCAGCACACTCCACACCCCCTCCGAGCACAGCACACCCACATGTGCACATATGTAGCTAGTCTGTGACTCGAATCTTATCTTAAACTTGACTCCCGACATTTAACTGGCGCTGCGCATTGACGCAGAAAGCGTTAAACCAAGCAGAAAGCCCACTCATTCTACACTTATTCGAGGAGGATCGCAGGACACCCCCTCCGCCCACCGCTCGCAGCTAACCCTCTCCCTTATTGAGGTTAAGCCCGCCACAGCCATTATTTATGGCCTCGTGTCCGTCCAATCTTTATCAACAAAATGCAACTCTGCACTCGTTCACACATCGCCGTCGTCGTCTCTCATTCCACGCGCCTCATCGTAGCCCGTCTCCGTCTTCGCCTTCGTCTCAACCCTTACTTTGTTGCAGCTTAAAAAAAACTACAGCTACATTTGAGCCCGAGTCGCATGTGTGAGAGTGTGTGTATGGCTGTCTCTGCATTTATTTATAAACTGCGCTCATTGTTGCGCCCTCTCCCGCTTTACTTACTCCTGGCTCGGCCTCTCTCTCCCTCTCTCCCTCTCTTGCTCTGTTTCTCCTTCTTCAAGTTTCACGCTGATTCCTCTCGCGCGCTTTGCTTCTGCTGCTACGGAGGCGACGGCGGGGTTGTTATTGTAAACTCGGTTTCAAGCTTTAATTACATTTATACATTGTATCTGTATGTGTGTGTGTGTGCGCGAGTGTACAAACAGACGAACCCCATTTAGGGCCCCAGCTGTGTGTGGCCCTCGTCGCCAACATACCCCCCTCTTCACGACGACACTCCTTCTGCTCTATGCGGTGCTGCTGCTGCTGCTGCTACTGCTTGCGGGCCTGCGCGGTATTCCTATTTTTGTTTGCCCATTCGTCGACGCCGCCGCCGCCAACCGTCCGCCGCTGTCACTGTCACTGCTGCTGTTGCTGTTCTTATTTTTGTTGTTGTTGTTGTTGCTGTTGCTGCACTCCAACGGTACTTCTGAGCGTCCCAACCATTTGCTCGAAATACGAATTCAGTCGAGCTTTGTGCTTCGTCGCCGCCGCCCGCGAAGTTGCTGCGCACTGTGTGTTCGTGTTCGTCTTCGCTTCGCTTCGTTCGTTCGTTCATTCGTTTTTTTTTTTTTTTTGACGGTCGGTAGTCTCGTAGTCCACCCACAAAACCCCCGCACACACTCACGGACCAGCCAGCACCACCCACCCTCTCTTTGCTCGTGTCGTGTCGTCCGTTTGCCGGCTTTGGCGCGGCCTCAAAACGTGAGTACACCTCCCTTCCCTGACGCCACTCTGTCTTGTTGCTGTTGTTGTCGTTGCTGCTGCTGTTGTGAGTGCGAGAGAGCTTCACGCTAATCTCCAATTTAAGATTAGATATCAGCCGCGCAGCCGGCAGTGCCCAGTGCCAGGCTAATGCAGGCCAGCATATTGTCGCATGTTGTGTGTGTGTGTGTTTGGGCCCCTGCACTGCTGTCACTGCTGCTGCCCCTCTAGCCCCTCTTCTTCAAGCTTCTGTCTAAGCTTTAAGGCTGCCACAATCGATATATGTACATATGACTAAGCGGAGTCCTCTCCCCTCCTTCACATTCAGCCGAAATTACCGCGTCACACGCACATTTATCGAGTGTCTGTACGGAGAGGGGACTGGGGGGAGGGGCGCTTACTCAAACGGAGCTTTCGGCTTCACCGTTAGCTGCGTCGCCAGCTTATCAGCGCACGTGCATTTGTATTTGTGTGTGTACGTGTGCGTCTGTGTAGAAGAGTTGAGAATTGTTTTTTCCAATTGCTTGTTTGTCCCTCGTACTTTATTTTATTAATTAAAGAACGGCGCCGCACTGGGCTAGGTGGGGATTGATAGCGACGAAGCTTGTGCGCTGTGCGATCCACAAGATATTTATCTTTCAGACTTGGATTGCGCGCACGCCTCACAAGAGTCACTCGAGCCCATGAAGCAACTATAAAGGAGGACTCGTCGTCGGCATCGTTCCTCGGGTCATTTCCCCCCGAGCTCAGTGCTTCAGGCGCACACTCCACTGTCGTTTCACTCACACTTACAGCGAGAGCCTTTTCACTCGCACTTATTGACAGCATGGTTACGTTTCCCTCCAAAAAGCCGACGGGTTCTCCTTTACAGTTGCTTCATGCTCGAGCCCAGCGAGAAAGTGACATTTAGAAGAGCGGCACCTGAGTACCAGCATCGATAGGCAGATAGGAAGAGTGGTTTTTGGCAGTTACGCCTATCGATATGCAGGCAGCTGGAAGTGGATGGGAAGACTGGAAGAATGTTAAAAACAGTAATACGGGAAGCATGAGCAATGTCCCCTACATTATGACATAGAAAAGTCCTGTAGGAGTGTCAGTAGTGTCCCTAAGCCCTAATCCTAACATCCAAATATATATTTTTATTTTTTACATATTTATATTGAAAGTTTGCTTACTTTTACCCTCTCCCCTCGCTCGTGCAGCTTCAAGACGTCTTGCAAACGGCTGAAAATGGAAAAGACTCCCCGGTACACGCAGCGGGAGCGGAACATGGTACTCGGCTACGCGGCGCAGTACAAGGACGTGATCGAGAACAAGCGCACGGACGCGGAGTCGAATCGGAAGAAGGATGAGGTCTGGCTGCAGATCGCCAAGGAGTTCAACTCCAAGGTGTACCATCAGCGCAGTGCCAAGCAGCTGCGACAGCTCTACAAGAACATGAAGCTGCTGCTGAAGAAGGATCTGTGCGGCGAGGACAAGACCAACGGCACCTTTCTGGATCTGCTCAACACACTGTCGCAGCAGGACTCGGTGGCCCAGTATATTGCCGAGCAGATGTCCCCGGATGGGGGCAATCAGAGCAACGGGGCCAATGGCCACCAGCAGGACGATTATGAGGACTCGAAGGTAGGTTTGCATCTGGGGAGCGATCTCCGTACACATCTCAGACAGGCCACTGATCAACTGATGCTCCAACAGATGCCACTATACGAGGGCATGGACACGGACGTAGTTCTAATCAAATCTGAGACCATCAGCGACAACGAACAGACGGAGAACGGCATGGAGTGCCTGGACGACGACGACGACGATGACTGCCCGAGCCCCAAGGCGCCCGAGGTGTGCCTCGAGGAGGAGGACGACGTACTCTTCGCCACAGATCTCCGCCAGCTGCAGCAGGTCTCAGCGGGCTTGGCAGTAAGTGGTGTGGCCAGTGGCGCTGCTGCCTGCTCCTCGTCCATATCCCTTCCCGGCGGCCTGGCTAGCCTCAATGGCCCCCTGAACGGCCTCTCGGATGCAGTGCCGCGAGCCGCCAGCTCGCCCGTGTGCTCAACCAAGACCTCCATCTCCTCCAGCGGCAGCTACGTGTCATCAACCCCCAAGGCGGACATCACCATCCAGACGGTGGGACACATACGCGTGGGCTCCTTTGCCAACATCAATAAGACCCTGCAAAACGGTTCCTCAACGACCAATGCCAGCAATGGCAACGGAAATGCAAACAGCAGCTCCAACAGCGTCGGAGTGCAGCATCTAACCGCGGAGCAGGTGCAGCAGCATATGCTCCTCAATGGCCTCGGCCTGTCCGCCGTTAATCCGCCACAGCAGACGCTGCAGGCGGCCATCAATGCTGCCACCGCTTCTGTGTCCGCCTCGGGTGCCATTGGCGGCGGCGCTGCCTTTGGCAGCAATCGGCGCACACCACCCACGCTCCAGCTGCCGCGACTCCAGCGGGGGAACAACAACACCAACAACCACAACCACAGCAGCAGCCTTGGCAGCGGTACGCCGAATGGGGTACAGCTGCTGCTCAATGGCCATCATAATCAGCATGGGCGTGATAAGGCAACGCAGGGCGTGGCCATTGGGGCCGCTGGCAGCTTCAACGGCTACAACGGCCTGGCCGTCACCGTGCCGTGCCTCAACAGCAGCAGCAGCAGCGCCAACAGCAGCGGCGGCGGCGGCATACTAATGTCCAGCTCGAACGGTGGCAGTGGGAACGGCACGGGTCCGCGGGCGCAGCATCAGGAGTACATGATGTCGCTGGCCATCGAGGAGCGGAAACGAAAGATTGATCTGCTCGATGCCCAGATTGACTATTGGCAGACGCTAACCAAGAAGCTGGGCGCCCAGCCGGGACATTTTCCCAATCCGGCGTGCCTCTGTCACTTTCCGGGCAGCGCCGCCCTGGGCCATGTGACCGGTGTCAACTCCTGCGCCTCCTCCTCATCATCGGCTGGTGTCCTGCAGACGCAGACGAGTAGCAGCTAGTCCGAAGAGGACGATGGCGATGATGGGGACGGAGGCGGAGGTGGTATCGGAACCGTGATTGGAATAGGAAGCTCATCGGACGAGGAGGAGGACGATGATTTCGGTCTGGAAAGCAGAGGCGAGAGCAGCGACATCATCTCAATTGTCGACATCAATGACGATGATGAGGATGAGCAGGATGAGGAGGAGCAAGTGGAGCTGCGTATGCAGCTGCTGTTGCCATCGAAGATCGCTATCACAGATCTGACGGAATTGCCGGATGAATATGATTACTACTCACAGGATGCCTTGGCCAGGGATGTGGGCGTGGTGGGTGGCCTATCACCGTCATGCCCCTCCCAGTCCCCATCCCCAACACCCACCCCCCAGCCAGTCGCCAAGCGCTCGAAGCGCCTGAAGGCGAACACCAAGCTGCAGCAGCATACCGGCAGGGCACACGTGGAGCCGAAGCCCCCCTAGAACGAGCAGCAGCTGCAAAGCTAAAGCTAGAGCTTGAGCTTGAGCTAGATCTAGAGAGCTGGTCTAGTATTTCAACTAGTTAGTATTGTACGTATTAACCCAGTCGTAGCGCACCTGCAAACAGAATGTAAATGCGCTGCCTCCCCCCACCCGCACCAGCAGCTACACATTAACTTAATATTTTATAATTATTTTACTATCGCTATCATTGCTATATACATGAATGAGTACTACTATTATTATGATTATCATTATTATTATTATTATTACTATTATTATTATTTATTTATGCCTAATTTGTGTGCCAAAAAGAGAGGAGATCAGAATTTAACTTAACCCAGTTGACCTTTGCCATCGTGAATGCTTGCCAAAAAACAATAATGTTTGTATGTAATACCTAAGTCAAAACCAAACCCTAAGAACCCTCTCCCCACCAACCACTCGCAAATCGCTATTTATTTTTACACAAAAACAAAAAGAAAACACCTAAGGTTAAATGCTTTTTTTTTGCTCGTTTGTTTATACCCTTAAGAGAAAAGTGGGAAATTTATTTATGTTAAGTTTACTTTGAGAAAGAGAGAGAGAGAGAGAGAAGCTGCAACCAAAAAGATAAGGAGAGCGAACGAAGAGGTGCGAACACTTTGTCTTTGTACATTTTACCTTAAAACAAAAACTAAAAACTAAAAAAAACCAAAAGCTAAAGCTGAAACATACTTAATTAGAATAAACATAAGGATATGTTGAAGGTGGGAAAGAGAGAGCGAAAACAAAAATATGAAAACTGTACAAATGTGGTTCCTAATCTAGTCCTTAAATGAAAACGAAAAAGCGAAAGCAAAACACACACAAAAACACACAAGAAAACAAAACAAAACCACACAAAATTGTTGTATTATGTGTATTATTTTTACAAGCAAAACAAAAAAAACCATCAACCAAACGCTCCCTACTCCCTGCTCTCCCAGTCATGCAGTTCCCGCAATCATCCAAAGAATTATAGCTAATTTAATGTATTGTACTTAAAGAACCCTTCAAGAACCATACCCCACCCCGGACCACCAAGTCCGTGTTTAGTTTGTACAGAAAGAGGGAGAGAGGGGGGGGGGGGGGACTTGCTAGTCGTCGCTGCTTAACCGTACTTAAGTGTAGCCATACAAAATGATTTAGTTATTGTTAATTGTAAGTGTAAAATACAAATTAATCTGTATGTCATGCCCCTCCCCACACACACACACACAAACCCAAAAATCAAAACCAGAACAGAATGAAATCTTTATACAACTTTTGTAAACAAATTTATGAATAAAACAATGAATTTACTTTGTGGCCTAGTTGTTACTGTTTTGAATTAGGTCTACTTTGGCGCCCTTCTCCTGTTGTTATGCAGCACCGAATACATTGATAATTATGCTCACAAAATATAAGCTACGGCCATGGATATCAAGCAATCAGGTTTCAAACACTTTCAATTGTTTCAAAAGAGCTACAGAATAATAATAACAATTTTGTAGAAGGAAACACAGACAGCTGGTGGCGCGATTATTTTATGAAATCATCGCAAAACCGTCGGTGGAAGCGGCCAGCAGCAATATATCGATACTATCGATAGAGCACTCGATGGCTTGACACCTCTAATGTACATATTACTCATAGCAGCGAACAAATTGCAAAAAAAGAGCAATCTGTTTATGTGTGGGAAAGATCAGCAGCAGCAGTGCAGCGGCAGCAAGAGCTAAAGTGAATGTGAACATAATACCCGTGTACCTTCCTCACAGCCCCCTCTGCGCCCACAGAGTGTGTGTTTGTGTGTGTCTCTCAGTGTGTGCGAAACGAACTGGCAGATTACACATTGCCCCCCTCCTCCCTTTACGACGGAGTTTTCTCCAGGCAACTGTCGCACCTGGAAAGCTAACCATCTGGCCATCTGGTGGAAACTGGACGCTGAAAAGTGGCCCCAGCTGCTGGCAGACAATAGAGAAGCGAACCGGAAGATACGTACTGCTGCTGCTGGCCCGTGCCTTGCTCCATGCCCGGATTCCATCTCAATGAAATGGGCGAAATGGTCTTGGACGCCATCGACGACATCGGCGTGGTCGATGTGTACGACCTGGCCTCGGATATTGGCAAGGAGTACGAGCGGATAATGGATCGCTTCGGAACGGACGCGGTGAGTGGGCTGATGCCGAAGATCATCAACACGCTGGAGCTGCTGGAGGCGCTGGCCACGAAGAACGAGCGCGAGAACGCCACCATACAGGATCTGCGGGACAAGATCACCCAGCTGGAGAGCGAGAAGCTGGAGAAGGCCGAGTTCCGGCGCCGCTTCGAGAAAGAGCTGGAGCTCATCGAGGAGCAGTGGCGCAGCGAGACCAACGAGCTGGTGGACCTAGTCTCCTCGCTGCAGGACGAGAACAAGCGGCTGGTGAAGCAGACGCAGGACTTGCAGTCCTCCTCCGCCCAGAGCTCCGGCCTGGGCGCCAGCCTCACCGAGAGCATCATCAGCATGACCAACAATGAGCTGCACAGCGCCCTGTCCGATACCCAGGTGCTGCAGCGGCTCAAGGAGCAGATTTACAAGCAGCGGGACGAGCTGAAGCAGCGCGAGCGAGAGCTCCAGGACAAGTACAGCGAGCTGGAGCATGTGAGTCCATCAAAAACCAAAAACCCATAACCCAACTTGAACTCTAACTCGAATTGTTTCTTCTCGATTACCTCGGGCTTAGCTTAACATTCAGTCGGAACGTCTGAAGGGTTCGGAGCGGGACACGAGGCGGCGCCACAAGCTGATGCAGGCCCAGGTGAAGACGCTGTGCGAGGAGCGAGCCGATTTCCTGGCCCAACTGCAGGACCAGTGCCGGGAGATCAATCAGCTGCGCAAGCGCCTCGGTCTGGCCGAGAAGGAGAACGAGGATCTGGTGCAGTCCTACGACGATGATCAGAACGATCCCAATCGGCCGCGCTATACCACGCGTGAGCTCAAGGAACTGATCAGCGAGAGGGACGAGCTGCTAACCACCATCGATGGCCTCAACGAGCAGCTGGCCGAGCTGAAGCCCCCTAGCCAGCTGAAGGCCAAGCGGTCGCGGCATATCTCCAGCTCGGATGACAGTGACGATGACGAGGGTCATTTGGCAGACAACGACGATGATGACGACGACGATGAGGAGGCGGCTGAAGCGGCAGCCGAACTGGAGCCCCCACTCGCTGGGGAGACGTGAGTGAAACATTAATAGGAATTTATGCAAGTCAATTTTGTATATTCTCAAAACCATTTCTGTTGCTTAGGCCGCCTGGCCACGATGCACCCGTGCAGGGACCTCTGCCGTATGAGCCGGACGATGCGCCCTGGAAGAAGAGCTCCGAGTCGGGCATACGCAAATTGTATGAAACTAAATGCGTATAAATCACATTAGATGATGATATTCACGAGCGAATTTATAAAAATGAAATATTTACTACTCTGTTGCAGCTTCCGCAAACTGTTCTCGGATCCGTCGGATGGAAATAATACATTCCCGAAACGTTCCTTGGCCACGCTCTCCAAGATGGCGCTGTCGGCCACACCAGGGTCTGTGTCGGGCTCGGCCGCCGCCGCCGCCATATCCTTTTCCGGCGAGGCAGCGAAGTAAGAGCCCCCCCCACCCCTAAAGCATCATCACACGCGTTGAAGTGCATCTCATTATTATTTGTTTTTGATTTTTGTTTATCTTTCTGTTTTGTTTCTGTTTCTGTTTCTGTTTCTGTCTTTTCTGTTTTGATTTTGATTATTTATCTTTTTATCTGTTTATCTTCCCACTCGCCTGCATCACTCCGCCTGCATCCCATTTATTTATTTATGTATTTATTGTTTCTTATTGTTTTCATCTGTTTTAGTCTGTCTTTGTCCCTCGCTATATACCTTCTCCGTTTAAGCTGTACATACATAGTTTATACACTCGATTGCTGTGCCCTCGTAATCCTAAGTTGTTATGCTATTTTATTTACGTAACTTTTTGTACATCTTTTGATATCTTTTTGTATTTATTCTAACTTAATTTGTAACTTAATGCCTCCGGCCAGGGGCCCCTCTACTAAGGTACTACTAATCTAGGCCCTGACTAGCAGGCAATCAACAAAACGACACACAACACACATCCCATCCCCCCACATCCAAAAATACATACATTCCTCGATGTAAACACATAATATACAAAGACAACAATTGCCCAAGACCCTATATACGAGTATTTGAGTGAAGAAACAGAACCAGAAGTGAGTTTAATCTGAATTTAACTATATGAGCCCAGTCCCTGTCCCTTTTCCTTTGTAGAATGTGTAGAAAGAAGGAACAGAATGAAATGCTGAAAGAGTGCATAGATTGTATTTGTAGAGAACAGGCGCAGCAGAAGCAGATCATGCCTATACCAAAAACAAAACAAAAAATATATTAAATTACAACAAAAAAAATGATAGAGAGGAAAACAGGTAAAGAGGGTTTACTTCCATTAGCTACAAGTCGATCTAAAAATCTATTTATACCGTCTCTCCTTTCTCCCGCCACCAGGATCTACATACAAATATACCCATAACCATACTATCTATGGTAGATATTTTAGCCTTTTCATAGCAGTTGCCCCCAGCGGCCTTATTATATTACAAATTTATCAAAAATACGACAAAAACCGTTAAGACGAAATGAGAAAAATTAAAGCAAATTGATGATAGATACTATATACAAAAACATATTTGAATAATTAGCGAAACGTTACAACCTTAGCGCATTGTTTGTTGAATTGAATTGCATATTGAATATTGAATTAAACTACTAATCGAATCGAAATCAAACCAAGTGAAATAAATTAGATTCCCATTGAAAGCCAAGGCTTGCGATAGGGAGCAGCGATAGAAGAGACGGAGGGAGCATAATCAGAACCAGAATCAGAATCAGAATCGAATAGCCAGAATCAGAAGTAGAAGCTGAAGCAGAATCAGAATCAGGAGCAGATAATGTTTTTAGCCAAAAACAAATGTTTTACCATAGACTTAGAAATAGCCAAGACTCGACTCGAATTGTTGTTAGCGATTTAGCGAATGTGAATACGAATTACAAGTGCACATGCATATACAAACATACATAAATATATGTAGTATATATAGAAAGAGTAGGGTTATGCCATGTACATGATTGCGAAATGTGTGCTCAGATCAGTTCTGGCTAAGAAATCTCAACAGAAGAGGCAGCATGTCACAAAAGGTCTAAGCATTCTCATGGCAAATGGCAGCGCCTCCCTCAAAACAAAATGGTCATAGCAATCACAAATATAATCCAAGAAACGATTCCAAGTCCATTATGTGTACGTGGCACCTGTCCGTCGAAGCGAGTCCTTGATCCTAGAATACCCTACGAAAGATTACAGTGTGTCCTTTCTTGCCTTGAAGTTTGTATTATGTTTGAATGGATTACCAAATATTTTGGAAGCTCTCTCCATAAAGAGTTCAGTGCAGTCTCAAGCTACTTCAAGATCTCTGCTTTAGGAAGATTTTTCCTTAATTTTCCCTATTTTCTGCTCCGCCTCCCAAACCCCCTGAAAGCACAAAGCGTGTACCCCCCCTCACCCCATTACATATCAGCGAAATCGATTGAAATGTGCCAAAGACTAATTGTCAATCCCAAGCACCCCTGCAACACCCGGCCCCACAAAACCGCAATCCCCACATCCTACTCCTCAATCGATCAATCAGCCAATCAACAACACTCGTTTCAATTAAATACAAATTGTGGCAACTGAATTTTTATACATACAAGTGAACTGTATTGCATCGATGATAACTGAAGGACTAACGCGAAAAAGAGTATTAAAAGATCGCTTGAAATTTGAAATGTGCGTAGGATCGCATCGGGATCGGATCGAGTGCTGGGGAGAGACATTGGATTGTATCGAGTATTTGGTGAATTAATGTTAACTAAATTTATATACACATATACACATGCATTATACATAATATACTTTACTATATACTATATACATACATATATGATACCATATTATATGGAACTATACTTATGACTAACCAAAAAAGAAGTGGAAACAATTATACAATACAAATTAATATATAATATATGATATATGATATATATATATGTGTACGTATGTAAATTACGAGTTTGGATG